AAAAAAAGAAGAAGAAGAAGAAGAAGAGGTTGAATAGACAAGAGCCTATATTCCCCCCACACTCAAAGTATGTCCACATACTCACAGTATGTGGTGGTTTTTGGAGACCAAGCTCTGTCACAACTTGTCTGTTTTACAAACCCAAAACATCCAAAGTGAGTAGCAGTACTCTCATTATAGAAAGGAATTGCCTCTTTTCCTCAAGTTAGAGGTGTCAACAAAAAGGCATGATCATTTTTTCTTCTTTTGCTCTGCAGTTTAGTATGAATTTTCTCAGAGACAGATAAACTCAGTGCTCCTGTTTGTCATCCAAAGAAATACTTAGGACTAGAAAAGGAAGAAAAAATTGACTTTTTGGAGGACTTAGAATTGACTCTATGGAAAAGAGCTGTACTTCCCACAGTACTTCCCACATTAGCAGCGTTATGCCAGGTGTGCCATTCCTTAATTGCTGTCCTTTAATCTGCTTCAGTGCTTATTGTTAGGAAAAATCATCCATGTGTCCAACGTGAGTTTCTTTAATGTAGAGAAAACTGTACACAGAATTCAGTCTTATGTTTTTGCAGTTAACCCTGATAAAGAACCAAGGGCCAAATATTGGTTTTTTGAGGGTTTGGGCTTCACTGGCCATCCCTTAACCCTCCAGTTTCTGAACAGAGCGGTGTCTGTGCTGAATTTCTTCAGTGAAATTTGCTGTCCTGGTTCTGCCTTTGAATTTTCTTCCAGTCAACAACTAGAAGGAAGGATGGTTGAGAATTGGTTTTTTAAATCAGTGCATTGTTCATAAGTGAATTAAAATATGTGTTTTCACTAATAGGAGTTATTTTCTGGAAGTTGATAGTAAGACTGGCATAAAAGCACATTGGTAAAAAATTACAATGTCAAATATTTCCCTAGATATCAAACAAACAGTTGAAGTGAGCTTACAATTTTTGCAGTGGATTTTGGGCTCCACAGAGTTCGAAGCCTTAGCTTTTTGGGGTTGCTAATCAAAAAAGGAGCTTATTGTGTATTTTCTCCCCTATCATAATTTTTTCAGTAGTTATAAAGTAGTTACATTTCTGAAAACAAATTGATGGAACAGCCTACAATGGGAATGGTATTTTGGATTACTTGTGTTCTGTAACTAGACAGGGGTCCTCAAACTTTTTAAACAGGGGGCCAGTTCACTATCCCTCAGACCGTTGGAGGGCCGGACTATAGTTTTTTTTTTTGTTTGTTTGTTTTTTGAGACAGAGTCTCGCTTTGTTGCCTAGGCTAGAGTGAGTGCCGTGGCGTCAGCCTAGCTCACAGCAGCCTCAAACTCCTGGGCTCAAGCAATCCTTCTGCCTCAGCCTCCTGAGTAGCTGGGACTACAGGCATGCGCCACCATGCCCGGCTACTTTTTTCTATATATATTAGTTGGCCAATTAGTTTCTTTCTATTTATGGTAGAGACGGGGTCTCGCTCTTGCTCAGGCTGGTTTCAAACTCCGGACCTCGAGCAATCCGCCCGCCTCGGCCTTCCAGAGAGCCGGACTATAGTTTTAAAAAAAACTATGAACAAATTCCTATGCACACTGCACATATCTTATTTATTTATTTATTTATTTTTGAGACAGAGTCTCGCTTTGTTGCCCAGGCTAGAGTGAGTGCCGTGGCATCAGCCTAGCTCACAGCAACCTCAAACTCCTGGGCTCAAGCAATCCTACTGCCTCAGCCTCCCAAGTAGCTGGGACTACAGGCATGCGCCACCATGCCCGGCTAATTTTTTTCTGTATATATTAGTTGGCCGATTAATTTCTTTCTATTTATAGTAGAGACGGGGTCTCGCTCTTGCTCAGGTTGGTTTTGAACTCCTGAACTCAAACGATCCGCCCGGCTCGGCCTCCCAGAGAGCTAGGATTACAGGCGTGAGCCACCGCGCCCGGCCCATATCTTATTTTGAAGTAAAAAAACAAACAGGCAAAAACACCTGCATGTGGCCCGCGGGCCGAAGTTTGAGGACGCCTGAACTAGGATATAGTTTAAGATTGCAGTTTGGAGTTTTCTTTAAATTTGTTTGAGTTTAAATCAGTTGCTGTAAATTATTTTCTTAGACTTATTTGCAGAACATACACAGAGGAGCATGGAAAGAGCCATTTATGTTCCTTCATTGCTTATCTCTCTTTTAGAATAAGGAAAATCTGATTTTTGGGGAGTAGGGGGGAGTGGGAAAGATGCTGCAGAGACTGGCAGTATCCACCCAAACTTGTTAGGAATTTGACCAAGAATACAGCTCACCTGCAGGGTATTGATAATTTTTGAAGCTGAATGATGGGTACACTTGGGTTCCATACTGTTCTTTTTACTTTTGTATATGTTTGAATCAATACTTTTATAATACAAAATATATTTTTTAAACAGAGCCCAGTTGGCTGTAAGGCAGGTCCTTCTTAACCTTCTTTAAAGCTGTAAAAGAACAAAATAACCTCATTGCAAATAAGGTGTCCACAATGGACTTTGAGTAGTAAAAATAGTTTTGTTTATTTAGGTTTATGAGGAAATTGCTATTTTAGATTTTTTTTAAGATAGGGTCTTACTTTGTCACCTAGGCTGGAGTGTAGTGGGTCATTGTAGCCTCAAACTCCTGGGCTCAAGGATCCTCTCCCCTCAGCCTCCTGAGCAGCTGGGACTGTAGGCGTGCACTCCTGGCTTAATGGACTTAGTTTTGATTTGCCTTTACACATTAGGAAGGCTTTGGGTCTGTTTTTGTTTTAGGTTATTGTTTTCAGAGTATAGCATGTTTGCCTGTTTATTGCCTGACTAGTAAATCATCTTTCCATAAAAATAATCAGTTAAGGCTTTTCTGAGAAGACCTTTTTGAATTTGAGCCTAGTAATTATGGACTGAAGGATAATTGTGTAGTTTATATGTAGTATCGCCATTTGGGGCTGGCCAAGTTGGAACCCTCCAGGGTAGCCTGTTGAGGGATTCTGTTTGGCACTGCTTTGTTCTGGGAACCTAACCCCCTGCTAAAGATAACCTCTCAGTAGGCTACTCTCAGGGGTCTAAACATGGGGCAGATTATGGTAAATATTCCCGAAATGTTTGTTCTGGTGAATTCAACAGACACCAGTCACATGCTGTACTTACTCTGGAATAGTTACTAGAGACACAGAGAAGAAACTAACAGTACAGAGTGAGAAGTTGAAAGGAGCAATTTAAGTCGTCCTTATTTTTAAACGTTTTTGATTTGGAAAGTCTTACTTTGGCCTTTGTTGGCAATATTGTTTCTTTTTCTTGGAGTTGAAAAATAAGATGTATTTTTAATGGTATAAATGCCATGTTATTATATAAGACCACAATTTTGTTTTATTTTAAGTATATGCATCTGTTATTCCAAGGAGTGTTGATCTGCTTGGTAATTAGACATGTAGTTTGGGTCCAGAAGGCTTGGACTTTGAAAAGGATGAGGTTTGGGCAACCCTCTCAAGTGGCACTGCAGAACAGTTTGAGAATAAACTCTTGTTCGAAGCAACAGAATTGTATCTGAAATGATTTCAAAAGGCTGTTTGAAATTCTTGAGTTTTAAATTACAAGGGAGGGGGGAGAAAGAAACAGTTGTATAAATACAAGATAGAGGAGGGCATCTTGTAGCTGAAAAGTGGTTTGTGAAAAAGGACTTTAGGGCTTACCCTGAATCAACATGTGGTGTGGCTTCCAGAAAGAGAAATCCTAGGATGCATTAATAGTGTCTAAATAGTTCTTTATTAGGCCACATTTGGAGAATTATATTAAATTCAGAGTGTCCTAGTGAGAAAGGACAAACTAGAATTGATTAGGGGCAAACAGGGTAATATGTGGATATGAAATAATGTCATCTGAGAAATGTTAAAAAGTTGAGGTAGGATCATATATATACCAGGCCCTTTAAGAGGGAGTTTTGGAACTAGGCTTTGTATTTCTGCATCCTTAACATGCTAAGCACAGCTTGATAGTTAAGTATTGATTAGTACTTGTTCAATTAGTGGATTATGTTTTATAATGCTGGTGTAGGAAAATGGTTGCCTTAACTACATTAATTATGAGAAGAATTTTTTAATCCAAAATAGCTATTTTTGAGGGGTCATGTTTTTATCTGAGGCGTATTTTATATCTATGAGCTGTATCCATGTTATACCACAGTTCTTCATAGGGACTGAACTTTTTCGTAGTACTCTAAGTGAAGTGGCATCTCTAGCTTACATAGTACAAGTAGAGATACAGTTAGATGTGTACATATTCTTTTTTTTTTTTTTTTGAGACAGAGCCTCACTTCGTTGCTCAGGCTAGAGTGAGTGCCATGGCATCAGCCTAGCTCACAGCAACTTCAATCTCCTGGGCTCAAGCAATCCTGCTGCCTCAGCCTCCTGAGTAGCTGGGACTACAGGCATGCGCCACCATGCCCAGCTAATTTTTTTTTATTGTGTATGTGTATATATATATATATATATATATATTAGTTAGTCAATTAGTTTCTTTCTATTTTTAGCAGAGACGGGGTCTTGCTTAGGCTGGTTTTGAACTCCTGACCTTGAGGAATCCACCTGCCTCTACCTCCCAGAGTGCTAGGATTACAGGTGTGAGCCACTGCTCCCGGCCAGATGTGTACATATTGTATAACCAAGATATGGTTGCATAGGTTTTCTTCTCATGGAACTGGAAAACCTGTTTCATGTCATCTCGGTACTTTTATTAACAGCTGACTTAGTCCTCAAAACCTGCCTGCTTTTTGAGAAAAGACTGCGCCAAATCACTGATAACTGCCCTCATTCTTGTCAGTCTTTCATAGTATTAACCTAGTTAGGGTTACACATCAGGTTTTTCATTTGCTGTGGCGTGATCTATTTGGGATTCATACTTCTTAGAAATTTCTTTTGATGAAAGGGCAATGGTTGGTTTTTAAAAAGCAGTCATTTTGTCTGTTTAAAAAAATGTCCAAAGAAGTTCAAATTTTCAAAGGTGCTCACTCATTTGTTTAAATATATTTTCTTACATTAGGTGTAATTGAAAAGTGACCCTCTCTTCAGAGATGTCAAAAACAAACAAATCCAAGTCTGGATCTCGCTCTTCTCGCTCAAGATCTGCATCAAGATCTCGTTCTCGTTCATTTTCCAAGTCTCGGTCCCGAAGCCGATCTGTCTCTCGTTCAAGGAAGCGAAGGCTGAGGTAAGGGGGGTATGACTTTGTATATTGAGATAATCATCGCATTAGGTAACGTGGATGTTTGAAGATCTTTTGTTAGACTCTCTCTGTGAGTGTCGAATGTACTGGGGGGGTGGGTTGGCTTGAGGTGCAGGGTTGGGCTATAAGATTTCCCAGCTCTCTCCAAACACTACAGATCTAAATCGGCTTTGATTGCCATGCTGTTTGCCTAATTAATTCCTTTTCTCCTCTGCCAGCACATACTATTTCCCATTCACTTTGGAAGGAAGAGCATTTTATTTTTATTTTGAGCTGCTTGCTTCAAATTTCTACACCTATTTTTCACTGCAGTATATTTGAAGGTTTGGACCAAAGTTTATTTGCATCATTAGCAAAGAAATGATAGCTAAGGGGAGTAATAATATGAACAACATTGCAAGGACGAGAAGATTTTTTTTTTTTTTTTTTTTTTGAGACAGAGTCTCACTTTGTTGCCCAGACTAGAGTGAGTGCCATGGCATCAGCCTAGTTCACAGCAACCTCAATCTCCTGGGCTCAAGCGATCCTATTGCCTCAGCCTCCTGAGTAGCTGGAACTACAGGCATGCGCCACCATGCCGGCTAATTTTTTTTTTTGTATATATATTTATTTAGTTGTTCAATTAATTTCTTTCTGTTTTCAGTAGAGATGGGGTCTCCCTCAGGCTGGCTTTAATCTCCTGACCTCGAGCAATCTGCCCACCTCAGCCTCCCAGAGGGCTAGGATTTCGGGCGTGAGCCACCACACCCGGCCGGGAAGCCTTAACTCACTAAATAATCAAGCCTTTAAAAAATCATTTGTATACACCTAATGTGCCATTTACTAAGCTGAATCCATTTAGTAAAACACACCTTAAAACCATTTAAAAATCACTGTTTCAAACATCAGATAAACATTATTTTATCTTATTAAATGTGAGAACAATTCTTTTGAATTTATTGCTAATATTTTTTAATTCAGTCAGTTTTCACACCTTTAGGTGGATTTCCCTGTTTCAGTTATGTCTTGGAATAAGATGCCAAACCTCCAGCGTCTTTCCTCTTTTGATGTGTTGTGAGTTGGGTTTTTCATTCTTTAAAAGTGTTTTAATTTTCTTCTGTGGGTAGATAAGAACCTTCCCATAGATACAAGTTTCCATATGTGAGTTTGGGAAATACTGGTGTATTTAAATATTGAGGGAGATTTTTGCAGTTTCATTCTTTTTGTCAGAGTTGTATTAGCAAGGAGATAATTTGTCAGTTTTGCCACTTGGATCCCCTGCTGTTTATTTCAGATGGATATCTAGAATCCTTGTTGTAGATGAATTGATTGTGAAATTTAACATAAACGTCAGGAATGTAATCCCTGCCTTGTACCCAGAGTTTTGATTTAGGCAGTTTAAACCTCAGATTAGTTTATTTGGTTTTAAAAGATATCTTTAAAAAATTTAATCTAGTAAATGGAAACTAATTGGTTCAAAACCAAGAGGCTATACAAATTGAAAGTGAGACAAAATCTATATGAAGAATATTAACCAATTCTGAATTATTTATGACAACTGGAATTTAGGGCAGATCTTTTCTCCTTGATCTATAAATCATTTGATGTGTGGTCCTGGACTTGGCAAATGAGGAGAAAATATCTTAGGCAGGCAGTGTGTGCTGGGGTAGATAGAGCCACTTTACGTGCTATATTACACCTACAAAATTGTCATTCTAGAGGAATTTCTCTACTAGAAAATACACTTTTATACTTGACTATAGTCTGACTTCTCTGTTTTTTAGAAACAGATAAATTTGCCACTGGATGTTCAATTTTTATTTCTGGCTTATCTGTTTCATGGTTTTTTCTTTTGTTTTCCCTCTCCTACAAGGAAAATATCTATCCAGAGAGTTTGAGAAACCATGCCTTTAAATTAACTAACTGCTGAGTTCTACAGAATTGGAGAAAATTGATTATTTCCTTGTATTTCACAGACTGTATCCTTTTAAGTGACTTCTCTTAAATAACTTCATTTGCAATCTGCAGAGACTCATGTTCCTGCATCTGTGCAATGACTGCAGGTTTTGGATGCAGTATGCCCCAGGGCCCTCACTAGTAATTGGTAACAGAAACAGCAGTAGCCTCTGAGGAGGGGAACATGAATTAAACCCTCCTTAGTGCTGGTGGTGGATCAGCTCCCTCAAGCATAGCCATTTAATCTGATCATTCTCAGTTTCATAGTCTGCGTCTGCCTCTTCCTTCTTCTTTTCTTATATTGTTACTGTTTTCAAATGAAAAGTGTGGAAGGTAAGTTTTTTTTTAATTGTACTTAAATAGCAACTATTAACAATCAGCAGTAAGATGCATCTTTGCCAGTTTTGCTGTTATTCGTGGGGTAGATAAAAAATCTGAATACAGTGGGTAATAAATAGTAGAAAACCAATCCTACTTTATCTTCTTTTGATTGAAGCAAATGTACTTTTTTTCTTAAAAATACTCTTTTGTGTAGTTGTTCAATCCTTAAAAAGCCTGGCACATTTGCCAAATGAAGGGTTTTGTTGTTATTGTTGTTGTTTTTTACAAGCTCTCACTCTGTTGCCCAGGCTGAAAGCATTGGTACAACCATAGCTCATGGCAGCCTCGAACTCTTGGGCTCAAGTGATTCCCTGCTCTGTTCCCCCACCCCACCCCCAGCTCAAGGTTCCAAGCAGCTGGGACTCCAGGCACATGCCACTGTGCTTGGCTAGTTTTTCAAAAATTTTGTAGAGATGATGTTTCACTATGTTGACCAGGCTGGTCTGGAACTTCTGCTTTTAAGGTATTCTCCTGCCTTGGCCTCCTAAAGTGCTGGAATTATAGGTGTGAGCCCATGTGCCTGGCCCTAAACTATAAAAAAAAATGCATCTGTTCCCAGTCAGGCCTGATATGAGAAGGTGCCAGTTAACTGAAGGGTTTTATTGTATGTGTAAAAAAATAATTTTTTATTTTTTTTGAGAGAGAGTTCTAGTAAATTTTACATATTTCCAGCTAATTGCTTTGCAGTGGTGGTTAATGTTAATGATCTATATCATAGTAGATAAGGACAAGTGGTATCCAAGAACCCCAGTGGATTTTTAGGCTTTTTTATGGAAACGAAGCTCCCTGTTAGTGACGAGCCTGGCATTTATGAACATGTAGTTTTTACAAAGTTAGGTTACTGTTGAATCCCTGTGATTCTGGAAACGTACCTTGCTATATCAGAGCTCTGTATTGTTTAATAAAGAACAACATGCAACACTAGCTTTCAGGTTGACCTAAAAGATATGCACACTGAGGGAATTTTTTTTTTTTTTTTTGAGACAGAGTCTCACTTTGTTGCCCAGACTAGAGTGAGTGCTGTGGCATTAGCTTAGCTCACAGCAACCTCAAACTCCTGGGCTCAAGCAATCCTCCTGTCTCAGCCTCCCGAGTAGCTGGGACTACAACCATGTGTCACCATGCCCGGCTAATTTTTTTCTGCATATATTAGTTGGCCAATTAATTTCTTTCTATTTATAGCAGAGACGGGGTCTCGCTCTTGCTCAGGCTGGTTTCGAACTTCTGACCTTGAGCAATCTGCCCACCTCGGCCTCCCAGAGTGCTAGGATTACAGGCGTGAGCCACCATACTGGCCTGGGAATTTTTTATAGTTTCTCTTTTTTAATCTTGTTTGTACTTGGGTGCCTTGTGGTCAGATAGTGCCCTCTTGTGGCACCTAGGTAAGATCATGTAACTCAGCCACAGGAATTTGACCTTCTAAATAGACCATTTCCAGGTCCCCAGTAAAGAAACCAGTATTTGTATGCTTTGCTTATCTGATTTCAGTAAATTATTTTAAGCTTTTGAATGGATGCATTTTCCAAGTCTCATTCTCCAGGTGCTCCTTGATGTAGACTTGTTGTAACTGTACTTTTACAATCTCAGATCTTAGTGGGACCTAAGAAATTCGCCCTGCACGGGGAGAGAGAAGTGACTAACTAGGATGGAGAGTGGAGTGTTATAATAAATAGTTTAGGGGTCAGAGGACCTGTGTAGTTACCTGTCTAGACACAGTTGCAGTTTTTCCTCACTTCCAATGACCTGGGGACCTGTAAAAATTCCCTGTGCCTATTAAACTCTCAACTGTTACTGTACTGTATTAGAATAGTCTTTGTTAGTTCACTACACTAAGAAAATTTTGATAATTTTTAGTCACTGTAGAAATATATCTCCATTTTAAATGTGCTGCAATGTTAATGAATCAGTTTATTTTCATCATTTGTTAAAATGAGTCCTAGCAATGTTTTTGTACTTGATAGGGACCATAAGTTGTGGGACTAAATATTAAAGTTTGTTTCCTTGCTTTGAAAAGAAAACTGAAAATGAATGACATGTAAGAGCAGGGATTTCAAAATGTTACCTTTGCTGCCAGATTTTTCTTGAATTAAAATGCTTATGTCAAAAATTTAAACATTTCTCTCTTTCCCCTCCTTTGCAGTTCTAGGTCTCGGTCCAGATCATATTCTCCAGCTCATAACAGAGAAAGAAATCACCCAAGAGTATATCAGAATCGGGATTTCAGAGGTCACAACAGAGGCTATAGAAGGCCCTATTATTTCCGTGGGCGCAACAGAGGCTTTTATCCATGGGGCCAATATAACCGAGGAGGCTATGGAAATTACCGCTCAAATTGGCAGAATTACCGGCAAGCATACAGTCCTCGGCGGGGTCGTTCGAGATCACGGTCCCCAAAGAGAAGATCTCCATCACCAAGGTCCAGGAGCCATTCTAGAAACTCCGATAAGTCTTCTTCTGATAGGTCAAGGCGTTCCTCATCCTCTCGTTCTTCCTCTAACCACAGTCGAGTTGAATCTTCTAAGCGCAAGTCTGCAAAGGAGAAAAAGTCCTCTTCGAAGGATAGCCGGCCATCTCAGGCTGCTGGGGATAACCAGGGAGATGAGGCCAAGGAGCAGACATTCTCTGGAGGAACCTCTCAAGATACAAAAGCATCTGAGAGTTCGAAGCCATGGCCAGATGCCACCACCTACAGTGCCGGCTCTGCATCACGGGGCTCAGCAGTATCTGATCTGAGTCCTCGGGAGCGAAGTCCAGCTCTCAAAAGCCCCCTCCAGTCTGTGGTGGTGAGGCGGCGGTCACCCCGTCCTAGCCCTGTGCCAAAACCTAGTCCTCCACTTTCCAACACATCGCAGATGGGCTCAACTCTGCCGAGTGGTGGGTATCAGTCTGGGACACACCAGGGTCAGTTTGACCATGGTTCTGGGTCCTTGAGTCCATCCAAAAAGAGCCCCTGTGGGTAAGAGTCCACCAGCCACTGGCTCCACATACGGCTCATCTCAGAAGGAGGAGAATGCTGCTTCAGGAGGAGCAGCCTATACAAAGAGGCAAGTATCTCATTTCCCCTGCTTGGTTGTGTTTTTATCTCACTAGCTGGCAGTGTAATTGCAATGTGATCTAAGTTAGAGCTCTGATTCATGGTAATAAGGTAATCCCCATTTCCTAAACTTTTCATTAGTAAACATTAAAAGCATCACCCGAGGAAACCTTTAGCTTAACTCTAGCTTTCCTACCTTCCTAAATTTGTATTGCAGCATAAAGTTTCTTTAGACTACTCTGCAATGATGTTTTCACATTTAAAATTTGCCTTGGATTCTACCAATATAAGCCAGAGAACAGTAGAGATTTGTGGGTCAGCTATCAAAAAAATATGGTCTTTGCCAAAATGAATGGCCCTTGGAGCTGTTAGACACTCTAGAACCCACCATCTACTGTGTGATCTGCATCTGCCCATCGTGGTGAAGAGCTGCACCCTCACACCCTGCAGTTGAGGAGACTGGGCAGAATGGGAAAGTCCAAGGCTTAGTCCAGGAAGGCCTTGTTTTAAAACCCCAAGGTGGGTGTATGTCCCAGTAGAAGCCAACCAGGCTGCGTGTTAGGAGAGGACATGACAGTGCTTCCGTCTTTCTACCTTGGGGGTCACGGTGAGTTGGAATATGAATATTTGTTTGTGTGGTTGGATGGATTGGGATGGCAGAGAGGTTACAGGGACGTTGCATTGAGACCACGTTGTGGTCATAAGGGACTTATCCAGCACATGGTTTCCCCTTTTGTTTTATTAGCATATTCTTTGATCCCTTGTTCTATGCCATATTAATGCAACGCTGATTTCATTAGGCTTTCTCCATTCACAGTACAGATGAGATATTCTTAATCTGTACTTTCCTGCCTTCCGTAAGTCTATTTTAAAGTGTAAATTTTGTTCCATGCCAGGACTGTGAATCTCATTGGAAGACGAGAGCATGAGCTCTACTCTTCCATAAGAAAGAGAATGATTTTTGCCACTGCCACCCTCTCCTCCATTAACGTGTATTTTGTTTTTATTTGTGTTCACAGTATATTTCATATTTAGATCTTCTAGGTGACTTGAAGCAAATTTGAAGTCTCCTTTGAGACTTGTATTTCCAAGTGTGAGTTGTATAAAAAGCAAAACAGTCCAAGGTTGAACATTCTATGTTAACTTTGCTGAAAACAGATTTTAACTGACTGGGTGAAGGTTGGGTGAGACCTTCATTTTTTTTTTTTTTCCCTAGACCATATTACAGGTAAGTAGGTTTTTGTTTTTCTTTTTTAATATCATAAAAATAACTTCTTGTTCTCTTTTTGGTTGCATTTTGTAAGATAGGACTCCATGGACCACATATTTTTCTCTTAAATACCAAGTTCATAGATTTGTGAATGCTAATTTTTTGGGAAATTACTAGAAAGTAACCAAGTAGAAAGTCTTTTGGTAATACCGGAATCCGTAAGACAGGTTTATTTAGAGAATCAAAAACCAATGACCATATGGTACTATTTTAGAGCAGGTTGCTTAAGAGGTCTCTTGGTGTCTTCCTTGTGTTTTTATATAACTAGGTATATGGAAGAGCAGAAGACAGAGAATGGAAAAGATAAGGAACAGAAACAAACAAATACTGATAAAGAGAAAATGAAAGAGAAAGGGAGCTTCTCTGATACAGGCTTGGGTGATGCAAAGATGAAATCCGACCCATTTGCTCCCAAAGCTGATTCTGAGAAGCCTTTTCGGGGCAGTCAGTCTCCCAAAAGATATAAGCTCCGAGATGACTTTGAGAAGAAGATGTCTGACTTCCACAAGGAGGAGATGGATGATCAAGATAAAGACAAAGCTAAAGGAAGGAAGGAGTCTGAGTTTGATGATGAACCCAAATTTATGTCTAAAGTCATAGCAGGTGCAAACAAAAATCAGGATGAGGAGAAGTCAGGCAAATGGGAGGGCCTGGTGTATGCACCTTCAGGGAAGGAGAAGCAAAGGAAAACAGAGGAGCTGGAGGAGGAGTCTTTCGGAGAGAGATCCAAAAAGGAGGATCGGGGAGGGACCAAGAGAACCGAAAGTGGGCACAGGGGGTTTGTGCCCGAAAAGAATTTCCGAGTAACTGCTTACAAAGCAGTCCAGGAGAAAAGCTCATCACCTCCCTCGAGAAAGACCTCTGAGAGCCGAGACAAGCTGGGAGCCAAAGGAGACTTTTCCTCAGGGAAGTCTTCCTTTTCCATTACTCGAGAGGCCCAGGTCAATGTCCGGATGGACTCTTTTGATGAGGACCTTGCACGGTGAGATGTATTCTTTCTTGATCCTTAGTGCTTTTGTGGCCTAAGTTGTATCTCCTAACCCCACTCACTGAGAACATTCTCTGTATTTCCCCTGCCATCTCAGTTTCTGTGCTGATACACTCATGTCAGTCTGTCTTCAGTGGAGAGTGTATGTCACTGAGTGATTATGTCCTGTATACTCCTGTGGGCAGTATCTGTGTGAGGTGGTGAAGTGTCTTCTCAGTTCTTAGTGACTGGCTTTCTTGGTTACTGGGTCCCCTATGGTTCTCTCTTACTCTCGGTTTATTGCCATGCCCCCTGACCCCCAAAAAGATTCTGTTTCTTTTTGTGTTTAAAATGTCTTTTGCCCATGAAGCCATCCAGGATGTACTTCTTTATTCTTAGCTGGGTCAACAGTCAATAGTCCAGGCCTCACCATCAAATAAGAATAGCAGTTTTAGAGTTGAGGGAGGCAGATGCATCCCCATCCCCAGCTTTAGGAAAGAGTGGTAAGGCCTAGTTGACTATTTTTCCCTTGGTGTAACTACCCAGCTGGTTGGACGTCTCCTTGAGCAGTGTTCCAGCCACATCTCATTCCTCCTTCATGCTGTCACATCCCTGAATGGCTTTAGCTTTCCAAGCTGGTTGACTATACCTTCTCATTTGTCATGTTAAAACCAGCAGTAACCTCAAAAACAATCATTGAGGTTTAACACTTCACTGTACTTGAAGATTCCCAATGAAGAAAGGGAAGAGAGATTTTGGATACCTTTTTCTATAGTTAGGACATATTGAGGTTACTTTGAACTTTGGTAGGAAGAGAAAAAGGAGCTTCGTGGATAGATTTAAAACTCTTTGGGAAAAAAAAACTATCTTTATGGTTTAAATGTTCTTGTTACATTTGGTCTTCTCTTGTTTCTTTTACAGACCCAGTGGCTTATTGGCTCAGGAACGCAAACTTTGTCGGGATCTAGTCCATAGCAACAAAAAGGAACAGGAATTTCGTTCCATTTTCCAGCACATACAGTCAGCTCAGTCTCAGCGTAGCCCCTCAGAACTGTTTGCTCAGCATATAGTGACCATTGTTCATCACGTTAAAGAGCATCACTTTGGGTCCTCAGGAATGACGTTGCATGAACGCTTTACTAAATACCTAAAGAGAGGAACTGAGCAGGAGGCAGCTAAAAACAAGAAAAGCCCAGAGATACACAGGTGAGCACCTCAGCCTTACACTGGAGGTTGTAATAAAAGGCTTTTTATCCTATATCGAACTCATCTTGTTAAATTCTGCTGCCGATGCACCTTTAATGCAAAACTTAGGGTAATAGCCTCTAGACTCTAGGATAGCTGTGGGTATGTATATTTGAGAATGGAAGGAGGGATATGCTTTGAGGACTATGGGCTTCTCCCGTTTGTGGCCTGAGAAAAACAGCTCTTTTGATACAGATGAACTGCTGTATTCTTGGAGCTGGCAAATGATAAGATGAGATTACTGTGAGCTTTCTATAGAGTAAATGCTATAATAGTTTCTTTAAGCAAACCCATGTATTTCATGATAGTTCTAAGTATCACGGGGAGTGGAGTGGGGGAGCTTGTAGGATTATCTCAAAGGGTTTAAAACTCAGCTGGTTTAAAGAATATCCCATTTGGTTGTGCAAATCTTTCCAGCAAATAGGGACTACAAACAAAGTTGGCCTTATCTATGATTCCTCAGTAGTTAACTCTTTTTTTTTTTGAGACAAGAGTCTCATTTTGTTGCCCAGGCTAGAGTGTATGCTATGGCATCAGCCTAGCTCACAGCAACCTCAATTTCCTAGGCTCAAGTGATCCTACTGCCTCAGCCTCCCAAGTAGCTGGGGCTACAGGCATGTGCCACCATGCCCAGCTAATTTTTGTATATATATTTTTAGTTGATCGATTAATTTCTATTTTTTTTTTTAGTAGAGACGGGGTCTCTCGCTCAGGCTGGTTTCGAACTCCTGACCTCGAGCAACCTGCCTGCCTCGGCTTCCCAGCATGCTAGGATTACAGGCGTGAGCCACCACACCTGGCCTAGTAGTTAACTCTTGAACCTGTCAAGTTAGGTAGAAAGACTGTGTTTATATAGCAGCCTTAGATTTAGGATCTGTCCAGATTTATGTCATTCCAGGCAGCTGCTTTGCACCTAGACCGAATCTTATAGAGGAATAATGGGACCGTTTCTTGTAATTCTCAAGATAAAAACTGCTCTTGGAGGTTAGCAGGGCATAGATAGGGCTATAGCTAAGGTAATAGGCCTGGTTATAGGTGAGTCCATTTTACTGCCTGTAGCAGGAAGGAACAAAACTGGCAGGGAATAAAAATCCTCTGACTTATGTTAGAGTTTGACTAGGAACTTAAGATTTTGTGTGTGTGTATGTTCCTATTCCTGCCTACGGGAAAGTATAAGTATGTAAGTAAAGAATATAAGTAATAACGTACATAAGTTATGAAACATGGTAAAAAGGAATGCCTGTAAGTCTGTTACCCAACTTAGGAACTAGAATGTTACCATTACTATATTCACACTATGGAACATTGTATAGTGTTTGTGTTTTCAATTTTAGGAGGATAGACATTTCCCCCAGTACATTCAGAAAACATGGTTTGGCTCATGATGAAATGAAAAGTCCCCGGGAACCTGGCTACAAGGTGAACTGTTGCTTTGATCAGTAATTCCAACAAAATGAGTGCGTTGGGCATGAACTTGACAGAAATGTGTTTGTTTAAATTACTCTCTACTTAAGTTTGTGTTTTTCTTTTAAGGATGGGCATAATTCTAAAAATGAACTACAAAGGGTTAATTTTTATTAAATGTATCAACAACCTTTGTGAAGTGGTTAGAATATGGTAAATGACCCCAAAGTCTGTTGAGGTGAGCTTGAGAAAAAAAAGAGAGGAGTTTTGGAACAAGTGCCCATGATGAGAGAAGAAACTTTTTGTGATATTTTTCTGCTTGTAAGTATTATCAAATCAACTGTATACATGCACTATTTCCAACCATGATTTCAAAAAGACATGCATGTCAGAGGAGAGTGAAATATTCATATCTTAACTTAGTAGACTGTTTTAAACAGCTGGTCTAGTTTTTTTCCTAACATTGTACCATTATCTATCATCTGTTGGTTACTGTTACTTTAAAGCTAAACATTACTTTGATGGCCCAGCTACATTTGCAATGATGTGCACGTAAACACTGTTATTAAGAGGTTAAAGCTTGTATGCAATCTTTTACTGTGAAATAACTAGATTCGGTTTTTAAAGTCTTAATATTTATTGATCTTCATTTACATATAGAGTTGAAATTTAAAATTAGAAATGGCTCTTCTATTGCTGCTGATAACTTTTCTAAAAATATTAATTTTCAAGTTCTCCAAACAACTTATCTAGCTGGTTGAATGTGATGAGAGGCACTCTTGGGCAGTCTCTCTTCTTTCCCCACCCCCCTTTTCTCTTTCTCCAAGTACCCATCAGCTTGGCACTAACCATGTAAAACCCAAGGTTTTGAAATATCAGAAGAGATCTCATCCTCCATGCCTCAAAAACTCAACTCATTAGAGTTGCTGTTTGTACTGCCCAAGGGAGCAGCAGCTGCATTGGTCTTTTTGTCTTTTTTTTTTTTTTATCTTGGAGGATGCAGAGGCCTCATTCCTTCTCTTAGAAACAGATGAAGTGATAAAATAGTAATCAATCTATTTCTGTTACTCCTGCTATTAAACTTTATTTCAAAAAGTTTGGTAGTTCATGTAAGTACAATGTTAATACAGAGTGAACTGCTCATTTCTCCTTCCTTTAGAGAAGATTTACTTCCTTGAGACAAATTCTATTATATGATGTCCCTGAAACTACCTTGCATCTTTGCCCCCACTGAGTTTCCTGAGAATTGTCAAAAGCCATTGCTGTGATGGTCTGGGCTGGTGTACCGTTGTTGCTCCTGGGTTCATACTGTATCTGCAGCATATCCTGACGGTTAAACTTCCTAGGAAGTTAACAAAAAAATTTTTCTTCTTTTTTTTTTTTAAAGTAGACTTTGACCTGGTACTGCCAGTTTATGAATTATCCATTATAGTTTTTGATATTTCTTGTAGAGAAACTTCTCAGTATAGCTCAGCATTTTGGAAAGCTGCTTAAATCTTCCATTGTCTCTCTCTGGACTCAGCCCTGAGAGATAATTCCAAGTAGAGGATAAGCCGTGGGTGACTGCTACAGTGTAGGTAGGGGAAGATGAGCATTTCTACTCTTAGTGGTGACTAAGCCTGAACCAGCCCAACCACCCACGTTCCAGAGCTAACTTTAGCCCTCTCACTTTTAGACTAGACAGTCATTAGTGGGCCACAGAAGCAACAAAGTGAAATCAATATATAGTATTTTCAGAAGGCTACCGTCCTCATTGTTTTAGGGAGCTGGTTTGGGTGCTATAAGGGATCATCATGAAATAACTTTGTGGGACATCTTGCATTCCTCCCAAGCTTGAGTGAGGTGCCTCACATTCCCAGTGCTTCCTTTGCACCCCTACATTGGAGTAAAAACCACAGTTTGTGGGGTGGTTGAGTTGGCAGCCCTAAATCCTTAAAGCCTTAATTTTGACTTCTCTTTTGATAGGCTGAGGGAAAATACAAAGATGATCCTGTTGATCTCCGCCTTGATATTGAACGTCGTAAAAAACATAAGGAGAGAGATCTTAAACGAGGTAAATCAAGAGAATCAGTGGATTCCCGAGACTCAAGCCACTCGAGGGAAAGATCAGCTGAGAAAACAGAGAAAACTCATAAAGGATCAAAGAAGCAGAAGTACGTAACCCCCTGTATGTCACCCTATTCAGACTCTTGAGTCTCTTGCCTGCCCCTTTGAGCTGTACACCACCACATCTTTCAAGCTAGATGGCTTTGGGGTTAGGAATTATAGCAACTTATGTTTCTTGTTTTGTACCATGTAACTACAAGCAGGGTCCCTAGTTTTAAAACAGAAATTCGACATCAAAATGTGATCCTTGTCCAGAGAACGCTTCGTGGGAGACGTGAATCTTTTCATTTGACTACAGGGATGATGTAGAGAATCATTTGGGAATTCTTTTTGTAGTTGTTTTAGACAAGTTCTTTCTCATTGCAGATTTTCATGGGGAAGTCATAGTTTAGAAATGGCTCAAAGTCATTGTCAAGTAGTAATGCTGTTTAGTCAAAGAAACAGTGTGGAACTAGATCAAACAAGATTGTTGATGCTTTTTAAATTAGTTTCACAGACAGTTTCAAGAGAGGTGTTCCAAATATTCCTTAAACAAAGGTGGCATTGTTGAACTTCGTAGGACAACATTCATACCAAGGTCCTGATGTTTCTGTTTACATTTTTGAAAGGTCCATGACTTTTCAATCATGTCTCATTAAAAGTAGCACAGCTGAAGTTCACACCTTCCATTAAGAAGCGGCATTTCTTCTATTTCTGAGCTTCAGCTGTTAAGCATTTTTATATCCCTCCCCTCCCCCACCCCTCCCCTTTGAGATTTACCAGTTTACAACTCTTTGAGATAAATTAACAGTTTGTTTAATACCTGTTTTGTCCGTTTGAATAATAAAAGAAGCTAAGCTCAAGATAATTAGTTTAATATCACACAGGTATCAGCTATTAATAATATCAAAACTCAGATCTTTTTTTTTCTACTTTGTTTTCTGTTCTACTCTGTTACTTATGCCTCATGTGTTAGGACCCCTAGCAGCTTCCAGGTCTGCCCATAGATAAAGGACCTGATAATCCTCAGGGCATGGAAGTGCCAGTGCAGTAGTCCAAGGCTGCCATGGTGGAAAGGGAGGGAGCAGCACTCCTCAAGCATTTCGGGGTTGGGTCTGGGTACCCAATCTGATTCCTCTTCCTGAAACATGTGCCTACCTCTGACTTGCTATGTGTGACCTTGAACAAGTCTCTTTCAAACCCTGGTGTTCTGTGATTTGAGGCAAGGGAAAATATTAAAGATAATTCACTATTCTCATTAATATATCACCCGACAGTTTATAAGAACTCTTTTTTTTGTTTTGAGACAGAGTCTCATTCTGTTGCCTGGGCTAGAGTGCTGTGGCTGTCAGCATAGCTCACAGCAACCTCAAACTTCTGGGTTCAAGCGATCCTCCTGCCTCAGTCTCCTGAGTAGTTGGGACTACGGGCATGCACCACTATGCCCGGGTAATTTTTTGTTTTTATATATATATATATATTTAGTTGTCTAGCTAATTTCTTTCTATGTTTTTAGTAGAGATGGGGGTCTCTGCTCAGGCTGGTCTCGAACTCCTGAGCTCAGATGATCCTCCCGCCTTGACCTTCCAGATTGCTAGGATTACAGGTGTGAGCCACCACGCCCGGCCAGAACTCTTCCTTATAAAACTGAAGAATGACTTACCCAAGTCACTTAGCTAAGAGTGCTAAGACTCAAATTTGGGGCCTTTTTGAGAGTCTTATTATTGAAAACCTCCTGCAATAGCACTGATTTTTAGTGGGGTCAGAGTTATGCATCTGAATTATAAGCATTTTATGACACTAACTTCAGTTTCTCCATTTTGAGTAGATGGAAGACCCAAGTGTGTTTGTGTAGAGGGTGGAAGGCGGTGCTTTTCATAACGGGGGACTGAGGGAAGGGAGAAAGACAATGAGAGGTTACTGACACTTGGCTGTTTTTTCCCTAGAAGTCCTTCTCTGTCCTGGGAGCCTGGCCTTTCTGCCACCTTAGAGGCATTTGATAACCTCTGCTACCACATGGCAGGGCTGGCACCCACCTTAGTATATAGACGGTGACTCATCGTATTAAGCTAATTTGCCATAGTCTGTAATTTCCCCTAGATGAAGGGAAGGGAAGCGAAATAACTCTGGGAAGAGTTTCCCCAGATCCTGGGCTTAGTAACACAACCTGTTTGAGCTCAGTGGGAGGTGGTAATGTGGAGTGGTATAATTAGAGCTAGGTTGGCATCTAGGTTCTGCTCTGTCACCTGAGTCTCCAGTCTATAAAGTGGGAGAAATAATACTGAATGATACTGCTGTTTACTGCATGCTGGCTATTCGAGGTAACGTGTTAAACACACTTATTTTTTTAATCTTTAGAGCAACCCCATAAGACAGGCAGTATTCCTGTGAAAACTAAAAGTGATATAAAGCACTGACAACTGGTCATACATAAAGCCTCTGGCCTAGTACCGGATGCATGTACTTCTCAGCACACTGTCAGTTTCCTTCTCCCTTTCTAATTTATGCAGATATCTTAGACTGAGCTACCCAAGGCCAGGGACTATGTTTTGTTCCTCTTCCTGTGTATGTCATGTGTTCGTCACAGACTCAGACATAGATGTGTTATCAAAAATGACTGACAGAATTGAGGGGAGGTGTCCGAGATATCCTAGGTGGGTGGGTTGGGGCTGAGCTGTTTAGGTTACTCATCCTCAGTTTCTTCATCACAGACACACTCCTGATTATTCTGTGCTGCTTATTATGCACAAGGTCTTAGCCAACGGCTGTCCGCTATGGGCTTATTGACTTCCTGGCTCTTCTCTTAATAGGAAGCACCGGAGAGCACGAGACCGGTCCAGGTCATCCTCCTCTTCCTCCCAGTCCTCTCACTCCTACAAAGCAGAAGAGTACACTGAGGAGACAGAGGAAAGAGAGGAGAGCACCACAGGCTTTGACAAATCGAGACTGGGGACCAAAGACTTCGTGGGTCCAAGTGAAAGAGGAGGCGGCAGGGCTCGAGGAAACTTTTTTCGAGCCAGAGGGAGAGGCTGGGGCAGAGGTAACTACTCTGGTAACAATAACAACAACAGCAACAATGATTTTCAAAAGCGAAACCGGGAAGAAGAGTGGGACCCAGAGTACACACCCAAAAGCAAGAAGTATTACTTGGTATGTTTCTGGGGATAACCAGGAGGAGCTAGAGGGCCTTTGGCACATATCGAAGCTGATACTAAGGCCTTAAGTTGGTTTGTCCAGAATTGTGATTTAATATATGTACAGCCACATTGCAGTTATAGTTGGTTGGAATGGGACTGCTGTAGGGGAGGGATTAAATGCCATACAGATCCCCTCACCTCTGTCCTATTGGCCGCTTGAAAGACCATTGCCAACCTGATTCATCTAGTGTGGCAGACAAGCAGCCTTGATCAGAGGAAGCTGGCACTTTAGCTGAGCGGACCTCTAAGAGCCTAAGGCTTGTGTGGGTGGGTGGTTTAGACTCTTTGAAGTGATGGGGTTGATAAAGTTACAACTTGTGGTTTTAAAAATGCTTTCTCATTCATTCTTTCATTGGATCTCTCTTTCTGTTCTGTGAGAGTGCCAGAGCAGGCATTGTTTGAGATATCGGTTAAGTGTTTTTCTTACTCTGCCATGCTGCCTCCTTGCACAAAACTAAAGAGAGGAGATATAAGATGGGAGGCTGGGGGTAGAAGGTTGGGAAGAGCTAGAGCCTCAGCTGTACATTCTAAGTGTTGCTTCCTCTCTTAACTGCCTAACAATCCAGTTCAGACATAGTTTCACGTTTTAGCATGATTGGCTTTCTTAAACCCATCTTTCTCAAACTCAATTCTCCTTGGAGAATTGCTTCAGGTTCCTAAGCCTGTTTCCTTGAAGAAGGGTGATTGTGATAGGGCAGATGTGAGGATTAAATGAAATACACACTTTTACATGTCTTGCTTCAGTGCTCAGTGAAGGTTTATCATCATTAGAATGCCCAGGTTATTACCTTAGAACTCCTAAGTTACTAATATTCTCTTGGATCTGAACCATTGCATTTTGGGAGTTGGGGACAGGGAGAAGGGCAGAAAAGGAGCAGAAGGCTGGGTTAGGGCACTGGTTCTTTTGGGAAAGGCACATTTGGGTGGGTGCGGAGAAGAGAGTTCTGCCTAATTCTTGTTCACTTGGGCACTGATGGCAGTTTTCTTTCCCTCAGCATGATGACCGTGAAGGCGAAGGCAGTGACAAGTGGGTGAGCCGTGGCCGTGGCCGAGGAGCCTTTCCCCGGGGTCGAGGCCGGTTCATGTTCCGGAAATCCAGTACCAGCCCCAAATGGGCCCATGACAAATTCAGTGGGGAGGAAGGAGAGATTGAAGACGACGAGAGTGGGACAGAGAACCGAGAAGAGAAGGACAATTTACAGCCCACAACTGAGTAGGGGCCACTCTGGACACGATCCCTGGCCCAGGGGAGAGAGGCGCTGGGAAGATGGCTGGTTGAGGAGCTAGACAGGAGCCTCAAGAAGATTCTGAAAGTCCCACCCCCACCTCCTACTAGCCATGCAGAATCCTACTACAGCAGAAAGTATCCCTGGCGCTGTGTCCCACTGGACAGAGGAGGCTGGCCATGGAGCCTGGGGTCAGGCCCAGCTCTTGAGCAGAACACAACACATTGGGCTCTAGCTGTGTTTCTCATTTATTGTTGGTGTGAGGGGTGGGGGCAGGGGTAGGGAGGGAGAGTGATGTTTGGATTTTGGTTTATTCCCTATTAGAAACCAACAGTTTTGTTCTTAATTTCATTTCATTTGGAGCTAAGAGGACTAATTTGATGGTTTTCAATCTCTTCTTCCCTGTCCTGATTTTAAAAGCCCTTCTTTTTTTTTTTTTTCTTTTCTTTTTTTAGGCATATGTAGTAATATTAGAAAGATTTAATTTGGGCAACTTTGATTCTTAAAAGAGAAAACAAAGCATGTGAATAAACGTTGAAGCGTTCACCTCAGTTTGGGACCAAACTGCTTGGATCTTTGTAAAAACCGGTTTTGTATGTCAAGGAGGAGTTTAAGGCCTTTCTGACCACCTTGTGTTCCCCTTTTCCGTGCAGCCATGTATCACGTGGAGTTGCTCCTAGCCGCATCCTACATGTCCATATGCCCGTGTTTTCTGATTTCTTCTGGGCTGGGCTTTCCATTCTCCACCAGCAGCTCCAGCATCCCAAACTTTCTAGTCATGCTGATCCTCTCAGCAGCAGGGGTGGAAACTGGAGGGCAGTTTCTGGTCTGTTTTCTAAGAAACTTATGAATTCTATTATCTTTACAAATATAAGATGAGAAAATAATTTTTTCAATATTTTTTATTAATCTTTTTATAAAATGAAAAGAAACTCCTATGATCGATTAAGGAAGGTGGTTATGGCTGGGTGGTTCATGGGGTTCTTTGGGATTTTTTTTCTTTTTTTTTTTTTTCCTTTTTAACCTTAAGCTTTAAGTTGAAACATTCTCAGATGTTTTGGGGGGGAAACATCCTCTTAAAATGGGTTCTTGTGCTTGCCTTCTGGGGAGGCGGTCCGGAGCGGGTGGATCATAGGCATTTATGCATATGTTATATGCGGACTGCACCCATCTCTCCCCCAGCCTTTGCCTCTTGGGTTGTTGTGCTTCTTTCCCCTTACTTTGCTACATTTCTATAGTTAAGTTGGTTTTTCTTGAATGATTCATGTTTAGGGGAAAAAAATGAAAATCTCCCTTAAAATTTGTTTCAACTCCTCCTGCAAATAAAAAAAATAAATGAAGTGGCAGATGTAAATGGGCTCTGGTCATTGTCACCCTGAGTGTGTGTGTGGTTGGGGTGGTAGATACCCCCACAGCAGTTTCAGGAACCCTAAAAGAGAAAATGCCTGTGGAAGCTGTGCCCAGTCTGCCGCTTAGCTGCGTCGTCACAAGCCTCACACTTGCTTCTGTTCCCGGGGAGCCTTAGCTCTCCTGCCTGGCAGGAACGTCTCAGTCCCACTGCAGTGGTTTTCATCCTGTACCTTGGCCGCCTCAGGAGAACCAGATATTTTCACTGGTGTCATGGATAAGGACTTTGGCTTGCTTCCGTGGTGGGGCCAGAGTCAAGGGGTGTGGTTAGCAGGCTCAGCTTTCTGTGTTCCTTGGGCAGGAAGATTACCTGAAAGTTAAGCCTGTCCCACATGGGACTGGCTGTAGGTGGGCCCTAACCTTCGGACTCTAGCCAGCTCTGGGTTTGACTGAATGGGAGCCTTGTAAACTCGTGAAGTTCTTTCTTAACTGCCTAACCTCCAGGGAGAATCCGGAGGTGTTTTCTGAAACCAGCCTGGCCCCTGCAGCTTCAAAGTGGGGGTCTTTGCTCTCTCTTTCCTCTTGGCGGGGGAAGGAGTGGGAGCAGGGAAGGAAAGCGGAGGTTTTAAGTATGCCAGCTCCATCTTAGCGCGGGCAAGAGCTGCTACCTCCTCCACTCTGGGCTGGCTTAGAGTGGTTGCTACCAGCGGGGGGAGGGGGGCCACCCTGGTATGTGCCTCTCCCCACCTCTTCCCCTGCAGCTAAAATCTTGCCACCTGGGAGAGGGTGGGCCTTGGAAGGATCTGTGGAAATTGTGGTTGGGAGCCTCCGGGCTAAGGCTGGGAGATGGGGAGTGGCACCTAGACTAAAAATGAGGTGGGCGGGGAAGAGCCTAAAGGGAGTTGTGACCCCTGCGCAGTCCAGGGACCCCGGAGTCCTCGCCCGTGGGTTGGGGGCCAAACCTGCTGAGCCGGGCCGCCCCCTCTCCCACACCCACTGGCAGCACCTGGAGCCTGACCTATCGGCTTGCGTCTACGCCTCCTTTGCTTCACAATCACGCGGCCCGTCCCACCCTACGCGGACCCAGTACTCGGCCACCGGCAGGACCGGCTAGGCTCTGGAGGGCGCCCGGGAAGCCATGGGTATGTGCAGAGAGTTTTGAGTGACTCCTCTGCAGCGGTGTGGAATTGGCAAAAGCCTACACCACCACCCCACTCCGCTGTCCTCTACACGGAGCCCGGGACTCGCGCCCGCCACGGCCAGCTGCCCCGACTGGCCCTCTCTGAGCCGCGTCCCGCCCTGTCCTCTGCCCGCAGAGGTCTTGGTCCTGGCCGGATACCGCGCGCAGAAGGGGGACGAGCTGAGTCTGGCGCCCGGGGACGTGGTCCGGCAGGTGCGCGAGGGGCCCGCACGCGGGTGGCTGCGCGGAGAGCTAGAGGGTCATTGTGGCCTCTTCCCTGAGCACCTGGTGCAGGTGAGGCCGGGCCAGGGACGGGCTGGGGGTCGGGGCGTGTGCCGCCCTGGAGATGAGAGCGCCCTCCCCGACCCTCATTCCCAGGAGGTCCCAGAGAGTCTACGCGGCGCTGGAGAGGCGCAGACTCCGCGCTGCGCGCGCCGCCGAGGTGAGCGCCGCGGGGGTGGGGGTGGGGGTGGGGGAGCGCGCGGACCCGGCGCTGCCTGGGCGGCCCCTGCTCGCGGTGACGGACGCGGCTCCGGGAGGGGCCGCGAGCCGGCCTGCGGCCTGTGATTGGTCCTCGAGCACAATGCTCGCCCTAGGGCGGGGCCTGGAGGTACAGAGGGGTGCTGTCGCCCACCCCTCTCCCTGCTCAGCGGACTGGGGCAAACGGCTCAAGCTGCCGCGCTCTTGCCTGGCTTCAGGTCACCCCGCCAAATCTCGGGGCCCCCAAAGATGGTGCAAAGTGAACTTCAACTACAGCCCAGAGCAGGCGGACGAGCTGAAGCTGCAAGCTGGGGAGACTGTGGAAGTGATAAAGGAGGTGAGGGAAGGCGGTGGGGGGAGGAGGTGATGGGAAGGTTTGGGTGAGGGGGATGGGTGAAGTGAGGGTGTGGGCGTTGGGAGCCGTGAGGGGCGCAGAGATGGGTAGTGAAGGAGCAAGGGAAGATGGGGTCCTGGGGCGGAACCAAGGGTGGAAGATTTGACCCTTGGGACAGAACCAGATGCCCCTGCGTCCTCCCCCTCTCCCCAGATTGAGGACGGCTGGTGGCTGGGGAAGAAGAACGGGCAGCTGGGAGCCTTCCCATCCAACTTTGTGGAGTTGCTGGACAGTGGGCCCCCAAGTGAGACCTCAACCCCATGACCCTGTGACCCCCTGGGACCAAACTCTGCAATCTCCAGTAACCCTCCCAGTGGCATGAGCCTGTGATCCACATATCCTGATCCTGTGACCGTTTTGACCCTCACCCATGATCTAACCTGTGAATTATCATCCTCCCTAACCTCACTGTCCCCCACCAGGCCTTGGTCACCCAGATATGCCTTCAATCAGTCCCAGTCCGCCGCGGCCTCCCAAGGTAAATGGGGTCAGAATGGGCATAGAGATGGTGAGTTCCTCTTGGAGTGGCCAGAGGCTCAACGTGTTCTTCCCTCCCCTTACCCCCACTAGCTGAGCAGCCTGACCTATGACAGCCCTCCAGACTACCTGCGGACAGGTGAGCAGCCAGCCAGAGTGTCCCCTGCCCCCCTACTCCCAAGCCACTCTGACTTGGGGGAAGGAGACCAGCTAAGCAGATGGAGGAGGGGGCTGCTGACTGACGGGGGAGGCTTGGCTTCAGTGGACTGACCTCTCCTCAGTCTCCCGCCCTGAGACCTACAGGGTCCTGTTTGACTACCAGCCTGAGGCCCCAGACGAGCTGGCACTTCGGAGAGGAGACTTGGTGAAAGTACTGAGGAAGGTGTGAGAGGACTGGGGCAGGGAGTGCCCAGGGAAGGGGGTGTTGAGAAGAGGTGGGACCCTGGAAAGAAGGAGCCTGAGGTACCTGGCTCACCTCCCCACCAACATGTTTCTTTCCCAGACCACAGAGGATAAGGGCTGGTGGGAAGGAGAGTGTCAAGGCAGAAGAGGTGTTTTTCCAGACAACTTTGTGCTCCCACCACCCCCAGTGAGTACAGAGCCAGACACTCGGGTGACAGGGGGCAGGGGATTCTGGACAAAGTTAGGACACAGCTGGAGGGGCATGGAGCTCCCTAAAAACAACCTAAGGGGTATGGCACTCCCTATACCCAGCTGGAGGGTCATCCCTAAAGGAAGGTGGACTTGGACATGTTGGGGTTCCACTTGGGATTCTAATACAGATTGTGTATTCCTTATCCTAAATACTTGGGACTAAAAGTGTTTTGGATTTCAGAATATTTATATATACATAATGAGATATCTTGGGGATGAGACACAAATCTAAACACAAAATTCATTTATATTTCACATATACCTAATATACCTTCCCTGAAGGTAATTTTATATAATATTTTTAATAATTTTGTGCACGAAACAAGGTTTTAACTGCACCCTGTCACATGAGGTCAGGAATGGAATTTTCTACTTGTGGCTTCATGTCAGCACTCAAAAAGTTTCAGATGTTGAAGCATTTTGGATTTCTGGTTCTCAAATTAGAGATGCTCAATCTGTACTTCTTTTCTGCATAGATGAAGAAGCTCATTCCACGGAAGGTGGTATCTCGGGAATCAGGTGGGTGCCTGGGTAGCCTGGGATTGGGGGTGCTCTCTGGGAGACCCCACTGGTCCAGTTGCCCCTAAGCACCTGCAGCGCCCCAGTGGTCCAGCATGTGCACATAGGAGCTCCCTCCCCTGTGGGTCAAGAGCCTGATGGGCATGTACACAAATCAAATCAATGTGTAGGTCAGTTTGTGTGTGTTAATTGGTTAATGTTTCTCTGTGTGTCTTGAGAATGTGCCTATCAGCGCGTATAGATTTGTTTCATTTTGTAAGGAAATGTATGGATCTTTGTGTCTGAGTCTATGAGACTGTGTGTATATAAATGTGTCGGTGAATAGCTTTTGTATACGTGCCTGTGTGTATGTGGGGTGTCTTTTTATTTATCTTTAATACTTGACACATGCCAAATATATATATAACACGTATGCTATAAAACTTACTGAATACCCACATCTGTCACCCAAACCCAAGAACTAGAACATCACCGATGGCTTGCTCCTTCCCTTTCGCCTCCCTTACTTCCCCCACCCCAAAGGTAACCAGGGTCTGGAATTTTATGTGTGTAATTCCCTTGAGTTTTTCATATATATATATATATATGTGTGTGTGTGTGTGTGTGTGTCAATAATGTACCACTAAATTTTTTTGTTTGCTTTTGAGCTTTATAAAAATGGTAGCATATATTTATAGTCTTCTGAGACTTGCTGTTTTTATCAACACTGTTTCTAAGATCTGTCCATGTTGTGTGTGGATATAGTTCATTGTTTTTCTCTGCTGTATAATATCCCTTGTAGGGAGTTTATCACAACTTATGTATCTGGTCTCCTCATGCTATGACACTACAGTGCTTCTGTTTTTTTTTTGTTTTGTTTTGTTTTTAATAGACAAGGTCTTGTTCTGTTGCCCAGGCATGTGCCACCACACCTCGCTAATTTTTCTATTTTTTGTAGAGATGAGGCCTCACTAGTTTGCTCAGGCTGGTCTCGAACTCCTGGCCTCAAGTGATCCTTGTGCCTCAGCCTTCCAAAATGCTGGGATTAGAGGCGTGAGCCACTGTGCCCAGCTCCTCATGGTCCTTTGTTGCATTCACATCCTTAATTTCTTCAAATATTTTATACATACCTTCAGTTTTTTTTTGTTTTTTTTTTTGAGACAGTCTCTTTGGCCGTGGGTAGAATGCTGTGACCTCAAACTCCTGGGTTCAGGTGATCCTCCTGCCTCAGCCTCCCAAATAACTGAGACTATAGGCACCCACCACCATGCCTGGCTAATTTTTTCTGTTTTTAGTAAAGACGGGGTCTTGCTCTTGCTCAGGCTGGTTTCAAACTCCTAAGCTCAAGTGACCCTCCTGCCTCAGCCTCCCAGAGTGCTAGGATTATAGGCATGAGCGTCCATGCCCGCCCATAGCTTCAAATATTTTATACATAGCTACACTACCTGACAATTCCAGGATCCGCTGTGTGTCGTGTGTGCTGACTCCACTCTCCGTGACCTGCCTTCCTGTGTGTTTTATGATTTCTGTTAGCTCATGACTTAATCTGTAGGAGTCTTGCAGGCCTTAGTAGGAGAAGACTTCTTGCAGAGAGGATTTGCTTCCACCTCTGCCAGTAGCCAGAGAACACCAACCACCAGGGACCACTTCAGTCCTCCCAGAGAAAGGTGGCACAAGGGTGGCGCTGCTGTTTGGCTACTGGGTTCTGGTGCGTGGTGACCAAGGAGGCAGAGTCTTGCTCTGCACCACAGACCCCAGGCTGGCAGCCGCACAGCACAGCTCCCCTCTTTCCACCTTCTTGGCCCCAGCTCTTTCCTTTTTTGTGGACTTCCCCTACCTCTTTTGCGTCCGTCAATGCCTCCAAATTGTGTCCTGAGCAGGATATAACTGCTCTGTAGTGGGAAGGCCCTTTAAAAGCACCTGCTCAACCATACAACAAGAAGCAGAAGTCAAAGTTAACATTTACTGGGCTTGACTATCTGCCAAACAGTCCTCTGAGCAACTTACGTGTATTAAGTCACTCAAACCTCAACAACAGCCCTACAAAGGTGTGTGCTATTGGTATCCATGTTTTATGGATGAAGACAATTGGGGCACATGTTTCTTGCCCAAATTATCAAGGAACAGAGCTGAGATTCAAAGCTTGCTGCCTGGCTGTAGCACCCCTGCCCCTCCCCGCTGTCGGGCTCCGTGTGTATCTGTGATGATGTGTGTGTACGAGTAAATGCCAGCATGTGTGCCCATGCCAGAGTGGCTACTTGTGTGTCTAAGAATATGAATCACTGTGTGTGACTGTCTTGAGGTGTTCACTCTGATGTCACCTCAGTGTGGGTTTTCTGACCACCCCATTTAAAATTGTACACACCCCTGCCTATTCTTATCAATAACACTTAATAACTCTAACACGCTACATATTTTCCTTTATTTATGTCTGCTTCCCCAGTAGCACGTGAGCTCACTCTGGCTGCTGTAGGAAGAACACACGACAGGCAGGGTGGGTGCAGCCCAGGCCCAGCTTGGGGGCTGTTGTAATAGTCGGGTGAAGGTGGCGGTGACTGGGTCTACAGCACTTGGTGGTGGACGTGGCGACAAGTGATGGGATTCAGGAAAATTCCAGTGGTAAAGTGGACGGGATTTGCTGGTGGTTGGATGTGTGGCATAAGGAAATAAGAGTCAGGATGTCTCCACATTTTGTTGTCTGAGCACGTGGGAGCGAGCGCAGGGAAAGGGGCAGGTTCAAGGCTCTCGGGGGATGGGAAGCAAGAGACTGGTTTGGGGTCTGTTAAGTGTGCGATGCCAGTTAACTCCTCAAGCGGAAGTATTAAGAGGGGAGTTGGATACGAGTCTGGAGTTCAGGGAAGCAGCAGTGGCTAGAGATGAAAATTTGGGAGTCGTGGGCTTACTCTAAGACTGGGTGAGATCTCTTAGGGAGTGAATGAGATGGAGAAGACGAAGTTTGAGGGGAAGTGGATGGGGGAAGCTTGTTGCCATGGTCTGGGAAAGAGACAAGGTCTGAACCAGGGAAGTCACATAGGCACTAAGCAGTGGACAGGTCTGAGAAAAAGTATGGATAAAAACCTAGCAGGATAGGGAGCCATCTCTCCAAAAAGCCTTCTCTGACAGCTGTCTGCTAGGTGTCCTTTTGGGGTGCTCCCACAGTTCCCCATGCCTGTGTGGCATGATGGTGGCCGGCTTCCTAGGAGCTCCCAGAAGGCAGAGTCAAATGATTCGTCTCCTGTCTACAATCCCCTGTTCACAGCACAAGATGGGGCCAGCATCTGCTGGGTGGATGAGTAAGTGGATGAATGAATGCTTCATTCCTCTCTCTCCTCCCAGTTCCTATTAAGGAACCAAAAAAGTTGATGTCCAAAGCATCCCTCCCTGCAGTCAAGAAGGTGGTGACAGCCCCCACTGGACCCAGCAAAGCCAAGTAAGGAGCAGGGAGGGGTTGGGGGAAGGAGGGTGCTCCAAAAGAAATGCCCCTGCCTGGCCCCAACCCCAGGGCCTGATGGGATATGTTCCAGGACATCTTCAACAGCCAGCAGGGACACTCAGAAGCTGCCCTTCCGAGGCTCAGGTGAGGGCTGCCTTCCTCTAGTGGGGGGAGGATTGGAGGACAGCGTGGTTGTGCTGAGGGACAGGGATGGGAAGAGACTAAGGGTCAGAGTGGGCTTGGACCTCTGAGGTTCTGTTTTCATAGGCTCCAATGGCAGCTTCCTCAGTGGGGGTCCGAGCCAACCTGGCAGAAAACGATCCAAAACCCAGGCTCCCCGGCAACGCTCTGCACCCAGTCAGGTGAGAGGCAGGAGGCATGGGAGAGTGGGGGTGCTGGGCAGACGCCGGTGCCCACAGGTGTGGTGTGCAGGGGAACCCAGACTCCTACCTCCAGGGCATCCAGCCCTCAGCTGAGACTTCACCCCCATTGCCGCAGGAGGAAGAGCAGAGCAGCCTGGTAAAGGCCCCTGCTGTGAGTAGAACTCCTCCTCTGGACAAGCCCGCCACCCCAGAGAAGATCCCATCTCTAGAAAAGGCCCCCAGCTCAGAGAAGATCCTGGCTCCTGGCAAAGTCCCCACCCCAGAGAAAAGTCTGACTCCGGAGGACAAAGTCCCCACCCCAGAACACCCCACCCCAGAGAAGATCCTGACTCCTGACAAAGTCCTCAGTCCAGAGGAGACCCCAACTCTGGACAACAAGGCCCCCAGCCCAGAGGAGACCCCGACTCTGGAGAACAAGACCTCCACTCCAGAGAGGGTCTTTTCTGTGGAAGAGGACCCTGCTCCAGAAGTCCCACCTAGGGATGAAGTCCCTGTCCCAAAGATGGCCCCTCTAGGGGATGAAACTCCTTCCCTAGAAAAGGTCTTGCCCCCAGAGCAGGTGCTCACTGAAGAAAGGGCGCCCACTCCATTGCATCGCTCCTTTGCAGAGGAAACCCTACAGGAGGTCGAACCCCTTGTGGCCAAAGAGGCTGAACCCCAAGAGAAGGTCCACATGCCTCATTCCTCAGACAGCTGCCTCTGTGTGATGCAACACCCCCTAGCGGAGCAGGACAGCTCTCCACCCCAGTCTGAGTCCACGTCCAAGCCAGGGTCCTTCCCTGTCCCTGAGAAGCCTCACCCCCAGGAAGAGGCTCCAACCCTTCTAGAGGAGGCACCTTCAAAAGATGAGACTACTCCCGACGAGCAGGTGCCTCTACAAGAGGAGGCTCTCCTGAAAGAGGAGGTGCCCCCTGAAGCGGTGGCTCCTCCTAAGGAGGAGGTGGCTCCCAGGGAAGAGGTGCCCCCTAATAAGACAGCCCCTGTCCCCCCAAACCCACATGCAACCAAGCAGACTCCAGACCCCCAAGAGACTCCCACGCTCCATTCCCCGGTCCTGCGAAGTCCCACGGACAGCAAGAACGACGGAGTGGATAAAAAGGCGCTGAAGGGCGAGTTGGAGTCCCTGCGGAGGGCGCTGGAGCTGATGGGGGCCCAGCTGGAGTAAGTGCGGGGCAGGGAGGGGCGTGGGAAGGGAAGGGCCGGCCCGTCCCCTCACCTCGGCCTCCCTGGGGTCCGCAGAAGGAAGCTGGCCGACATCTGGGAGGAGCTGAAGAGCGAGAGGGAGAAGCGCCGGTTGCTGGAGGTGGGCGAGCGAGGGTCCGCGGCGGGCGGGGCTGGCGGCTGGCCCTGCCCTGACGCCCGCTCTCTCCCAGGCCCAGATGATGCAGAGGATCCAGAAGGCCCCGGCAGGGGACTCCGTCCATGCGCAGACGCAGACGTACTGAGGGCGGGCCTACGAGGGACCGTGGCCCGGCCTGGACGGACGTCTTGCTTGGGCCACCCCTGTGCTTGCACACGACTTTGGGAAACGCAAGAAAGTAAACTCTGCCTCGCACGCGCGCTGAGCCGGTCTGGTCCGTGGGGGCGGAGCCGGCGGGGCGGGCCCTCCGCATTCCTGGCGGTCTCTCCTGGGCACATCTGGCCAACATGTGGCTCCCATTACGGTTCCCAAGGCCTGCGCAAGCAGCTATTTTTAGCCACCGGATGGAGAGGGGGGGGTGTCTCCACTCTGGAGAAATGGCGCGCAGGAGGGGCCGGGACAGGGTCGGGCTCTGCCCGGCGGCAGGATTCCCAGAGCCCAGCGGCCGGATTCCGGGATCCAGCTGTGCAACTGGGGAGGGAGAGAGGCCCCCTTGGAGCCTTCCCGGTTCACTGTCGGCTTGCTTGAACTCACCTCGGCTCAGAAGTGAACCCAGTGCCCAGCCCAAGCAGGCGTGGTTACACTGGGGCCGGTAGCACCACGGTTAGGTCTCGAGGCCCGGTGTGTTGTGTGGTTGCAATGCATGCCTGACCCCGGGGCACTGTGGGGACAGGGCGACGTGTGCCCGCGCGTTTGCAGGTGTGGAATGCATGTGTAGGGGGGCGGAGTAGGTGGAGTGTGGGTGCAGGAGGAGTGTGCTTCTTTGTGCTGTCTATGAACACAGGCAGGTGTGCCTAGTCGTCGGGTGTGTGCACAGAGGCGGTGCAGGCTGGAAAAGGAGTCGAGTGGGGGGGTCTCAGCCTCTGATCCCCTTCGCAGAAGACTGGGGGCGGGGAGGGGGTAGGGGTAACAGAGGGAAGAGACTGAGCCACTGAGAATGCAGCTTTCATTGGTCACTTCCCGTCTTCGTCCCCCAGAGATGAGTGGGGCCCCTGCACACCCCCCCCAGGGTTCTAATGGTAGGCCTGGGGAAGGGTGCCTCTCTGAGGGTGGCGGTCCATGCCCAATAGCACCAGGGGAGCTGTGGGGGCGGGGCAGTCTGAAAGTCCTGGGGCAGCTCTGGCCCATTTGCATGTCCAGTTTCCAGAGCGCCTTGCACTGGGAGCCGGGCGGTCAGTAATAGTGCATGCGGCCCAGGGTGCCAGTGGCCGTGGGGCTGGGCCCCAGCGTGCCGGTGCCTAGCAGGTCCGGCTGCCCGGTGCGCCAGATCTCCCGCAGGATCCGCTCACGCTCCTCCAGCCGCTGCGCCCGCTCCAGCTCCTCCGCGGACGTGAAGACGTTGACGCTGAGAGGCCCGTCGGGCTCCGCCGACAGCTCGGGGCCTGCCAGCGTGTCGTCGGGGCCCAGCCGTGTCACTGTGTCCTCCTCCTCCTCGTCTTCGTCCTCCTCGGGCTCCAGGGTGCTGCTGCGGGCACCCCGGCGCAGAGAGGGGCCCCGGGGCCGCGGGCGGGGCGCGCACGAGATGCTGATGACCAGGAGGCACAGGGTCAGCAGCAGGCCGAAGCAGACGCCCAGCACGAAGTAGAGGCCGAGGCTCTCGGGGTTAGCTGGGGGCAGAGGGCAGGGGTCATGGGGGGGCCTCAGGGGTGGGAGCCATTCCTTCGTGGAAAGACTTCACGCTCTAGGATTGAGGGCAAGGGGCAAAACCACTTGAAGGGTGCTAGGAGCCGCGCAGGTACAGTGAGCAGCGAGGGTGGGGGAAGTTGGGACCGGCGACTGGACTGGGGGACTGGAAGGGCTGGGCGTGGAGGGAAGGGCGGTGTGGGGGCGGGGAGGGGTCCAGGGCCTCGGCCCTTCCGCCCCCGTCCTCACCGCGGATGTGCGCGTAGGCCGCCAGGCTGTTGCTGAGCAGCTCCATGTCCCTTCGGGGGGCGTCCATGCTGCTGGGGGGCAGCTCCTCTGTCAGCCTGCGAGGGCAGCAAGGTCAGGTCCTTCTCCGAACCCGGACGTGGCCCTGACGCTTCTCCTCGGGGCTGCTGGTCTTCCCGAGGAGCGGCCGGTTCCACCCTGCAGCGTCGTTCTCTGCCTTCCTTGCACACCCGGGCCCTGTCGGGGGATATCCTTCCCCGGGCGCCGACGCCCACCGACCCGCGGAGCCCCGCACTGGGGCGCAGGAGCCCTCGGCCCCTTGTGGGGTCCCAGAGTGAGGCCGGGCTCTGCCGTCTGGGAGCGGGACGGGGGACACAGACGCGGGGGCCTCCCCGCTCCCCTCTCCCATCCCGTCCGCCCCGCGGGGACCCCCGGCCCGGAGGCCCGGGCTCGCTCACCGTCAGCGCCCCGCTTCCCGGCGGCCCGCCCCGGCGCGCCCGGCGGCCGCATACACCCGGGCCCTGAGCCCCTTCCGCCCCGCTTGGGTCCCAGGCCGCGGCAGCGCGGGCCGGACACGGCCAATGGACCAGCCGGCGGAAAGTTTCCTCGGAGGAAAGAGGAGGGACGGGGCGGGGCGCAGGGAGGCGGGGAGGAAAAGGCCGGGAGAGGAAGGGGAGAGGAGTGAGCGGCCGCAGGAGGGGGAGCTAGGCCCGCGGGGTCGGTCTGCTCCCCCACAGGAAGCCGCTGGGGAGGCCCTTGCGGGGACCCGCCCCCGGGCTACTAACAACAACAATAATAGTGATGATGGAGTTCTGCCTAGGTGCTAGGCAAGGGGCTAAATAAACCCTTTACGTGTTTTTTCATTCACTCCCAACAACCCTATAACGTGGGTACCATTATCCCCACTCAGCAGATAAAGTAAACTGAGTCACCGAGATATTGGATAACCTGACAGAACAGTCAGAATTTGAACCCACTACTCTCAGACCCTACAGCTGCACCTTGCACCCCCTCCCGGGAGGCCCCAGGCTCCCTCCCCCAGGGAAGACTGCCCCTTCTCCCCAGACCTGGCGGAGGTTGCCAGCACCCCCAGACGCACAGCTAGCCCGGTAGGGAGAGGACTCTTAACCCCTCCTCCCAGGGCCCAGGCGTGAGTGTGTCCAGCTGGCGAGCTCTGGTCTGGTCACGCAGGGTTAATGATTGTTGGACTAGGGCTTTGAGCCAGGCAGGGCCAGCCAGCCTTGCAGACCCCAGCTCGGGGCCTCTGCCTGTGCCTGCGAGGGAGCGCCTGTGCGCCTTTGCGCCCGGTGGCCTGTGGCGGCTTCCCCCTGGTTCAACCTGGCCCTGCACACACATGCACAACCACCTGGGCCTGTGCATGCAATGTGTTGTGTGATCAGCGTGCGCAGCTGGGTCTTTCTGCCCAGTCTCCTCCCTCCTCCCCACCCCTCCTTGGGCCTCCCCTCCCTGCGCTGGAGCTGGGGTGAGGGGGAGGCCTTCCTGGCGGGAGCCTTAGAGAGGAGGAGGAAAGGAAGGGGGAGAGGAAATTGCAGACATAGCTGAAGGCACTGTCTGAGGCCCATGGACTGGCGACCCCCTCCCTGTCCAGGCTGGAGACCCCCACTCCCCCAGAAACTGGGTTCAAGCAGAGGGCAGATCCAGGTGGGGAAAAAACTAGGACTGACTCCCATGGGGACAAGAAAGGGACTCCTGGGTGTCTGTGACTGTTTAGTCTGTTGTGTGAGCGTGTGTGGAGGTATTTTTGCCCTTTTCTGTGTATTTATCTATGTGGTGATCCGCTTGAGTATTTTTATGGGGGTGGGTATGTCTATGTATAAATAAATGTACAGCCACTGGTCAACAAACGCTGAGTGTGTGTCCCTCGCCCCTAGTACTTTCTGCATCTGGGTTTAACCAAGCTCACATTGAAACTATTTTTTAAAAAATTGAATCTATACTGAATGTGTGCACACTTTTTGGTCATTTCCTAAACAATGCAGTATAATAACTATTTGCATTGCATTGGGTATTATACGTAATGGAGAGATGATGTAAAGTATATGGGTGCATGTTCATAGGTTATATCCAAGTACTATGCCATTTTATGTCAGGGACTTCAGCACCCTTTGAATTCGGTACCCACTGGGGATCCGGGAACCAACCCCCTCATGGATACTGAGGGACGCCTGTAGTGGCAATTAGCAATAAACAGAACAGACACAAATCCCTGCCCTTCCTGGGGCTGGCGCTGGATTGGACAGTTGATAGAAGACAGTCTCAGATACTGCTGAGTGCTCAGCGGGTGACAGGACGGTGGAATGTGGTGGACACCACCCGGCACACTTCTCACAGGGCTTCCAGGTGAGAACTGAATCCTGAGGAGGAGGTAGTCATGCCAGCCAGGATCTGGGGACAGTGTTGGGGCAGGACCAAGGGCAAGGGCAAAGGGCCTGGGGTAGGAGCTTGCTAGGGATACCCCACTCCCAGGGTCATAAAGCCCGAGTGACAGCGACGGGGTGCAGGTGCAGGGTGGGGGGTGGCCAGCGGCTTTGAAGGGGCTCACTGGATGGCCCTGCACAGGAGCTTGGATTTTATTATAAGTGTAGGGTATTGCCCCTGGGAGTTTTTTTTTTTTTGAGACAGAGACTCACTTTCTTTTTTTTTTTTTTTTTTGAGACAGAGTCTCGCTTTGTTGCCCGGGCTAGAGTGAGTGCCGTGGCGTCAGCCTAGCTCACAGCAACCTCAAACTCCTGGGCTCGAGTGATCCTTCTGCCTCAGCCTCCCGGGTAGCTGGGACTACAGGCATGCGCCACCATGCCCGGCTAATTTTTTATATATATATATCAGTTGGCCAATTAATTTCTTTCTATTTATAGTAGAGACGGGGTCTCGCTCTTGCTCAGGCTGGTTTCGAACTCCTGACCTTGAGCAATCCGCCCGCCTCGGCCTCCCAAGAGCTAGGATTACAGGCGTGAGCCACAGCGCCCGGCCGAGACTCACTTTCTTGCCCAGGCTAGAGTGAGTGCCGTGGCGTCAGCCTAGCTCACAGCAACCTCAATCTCCTGGGCTCAGCGATCCTCCTGCCTCAGCCTCCCGAGTAGCTGAGACTACAGGCATGTGCCACCATGCCCGGCTAATTTTTTCTATATATATTTTTAGTTGGTGAATTAATTTCTTTCTATTTTCAGTAGAGACGGTGTCTTGCTCAGGCTGGTTTCGAACTGGTGGTGGCTCTGTGTAGGATGGGCCCCAGTGGGCAGGCCAGCGGGCGGGGAGCTGGGAGGGGTCAGGTTCAGTGTTATGCTGAAGGGAGTTCGCACTGGGTGTGCACCTGAGGGAAAGAGGAATTTAAGACATTTTGGTATTGGGCCTGGGCCTGGGCACTGGACGAAAGGCTTCTCGGTGGGGGAGTTGGTTTCATTTTGGGCTGGATTTGAGATGTCCCTGAGCCATCTGGGTACAGGGGTTGGGAGGCAGGCGGAGCCTAAGGAAGACTCATAAGATGGATTTAACACCCCAAGAGTGGGTGAGATCACCTGGGAGGAGAAGAGGTGTCTAAAGCCTGAGCGCTGGACACCCGACATCGAGGGGTCTCCTGGAGGTGGCGTCAGCCAGAAGAGACGGAGTGGTGGGGGACAGGACACACTGGGCAAGGATGTGACGGTGGGTGGAACTGAGAGGTGAAGGTGAGGCCAGAATGTGGCGCCCACTGGCGGGGGAATACTGTGGAGCTGTCGGCAACATTGGTGGGTTCTGGGAGCTGTATCTCTAATTCTTCAAGGTATGCATGTGACTGGCTGTCCTCCCAGTTGGCTGGGAGTGTGTTAACATGTTTAATGCCGACCATCCACTCAAACATCGGTGTGCAGGTGTGCTTGTGTGAGCACGTGTGCTTTGGAGCCTCAGTTTGTGTTGCACATACCTGCGTGAGGGTCCACGTGCACGCTTGTGTGCGTGCGTGCCCGCTGTACGGCTTTGGACACGTTTCTGTCAAGCTCTTTCCATGCATCTCTGTGCTTTGCAGATCTCTTGGTACCTCCGCCTGCAGGCAAAGGTGTGTGTGTGTCCAGGTTGGCAAGCGACATGTGTTTGGTGTGGGTCAGGTGTGACTCAGCCCTGGGGAAGCAGGTGGCCTTGCTGGAGCAGGGTGAGGACAGTGGCTGGTCCCTTCAGAGAGAGAGACATAGAGTACCCAGAGTGCTGCCTTCTCCAGGGGATGCCAGCCCAGGCCCGGTGGAGAAGTGGAGGGGTCCAAGAAGCTGAGGACTGCTCCTGGAGGCTTGGGGAAGGTGCCCGAAGCTTTTAGCCAATGTGGCCATCTTCATGGTCCACATGCCCTCTTGGCCACTTGACTCTGCTTTAGGCCTGCGTCCCCTGCCCAGCCGCCTGCTTCTGTCTTGTGGCTGGCATCTTTCTGCAGGTCTGTCACCTGCAGGTCTGGCTCAAAGTCCACTTGTCCACCCACCTGTGTCCTCTCTCCTCGCTGCCTGCCCACTTGCCGGCCCCTCTCTGCCCTCCTATCTGCCTGTGAGACCAGGGATATTTCTCCTTGGAAGGCACAGAGAGTCTTCCTTTGCTGAAACATGGGAAAGACAGGCCTTAAAGGGAGGTCAGGGGGTGAGAGATCTAGAGTCCATGATAGGGGCTCAGGGGTGCTGGCACATTCGCTGTCCCCTGCAAAGCCCAAGCACGACTCTGCTCCCGATCCCAGCGGCCAAGCTGGGAGCTGGCTCCAGCTGCTCTGCTGCTGGCACTGGGGCCTCACCTGTCCTCAGGTCTGCATGGAGGAAAGAAGGGGACACACTCAGGGACTCCAGAGGCATGCCCGGTCCTCTGAGTGGCTCCACACCCCCAGCACCCAGGACAGCTGCTGGGTAGAGGGTGCTGGTGAATAATAATAGCTACGGATATTAAGTACCCGCCTGGTACCTGGCACTCTGCATAAATGTTGTGTGCACTCTGACCCTTCAGATCGTCCCAATAACCCTGTGTCGTTTACAGCATGACTCCCATTTGACGGGGGTAGGATGAGGCTCAGGGTAGGCAGTGTGCATGTGCTCACGCGGGTGTAAGTGGTGGGGGCTGGATTTGAAACACAGAGTCCAACTTTCTGCTTTCCCACGGGGCAGCTCCACCCCGTCGGACCCTGCGCTGCCTTTTCCTAATGCTTCCTGCTGCTCCTTCTGTGCTCCTGAAATGAAATTCATGGCTAATATACCAGCCTTCACGTCTAATTAAAAAGTATGTAATGGTTTTCTTTGTCCTATAATATATAAGAAAGAAGAGGTAATGACTCATATTTGTGAAGTGGCCAATTGCCAGGAAGGTACCAGCTGTGTGTGCAGACTGATGCTAGAATGTGGCGGTGACAATGTCTGAAATGATGAAGAACCCTTGGGAAAGTTCTGAGCAAATAAAGTACAAGTTCCTGCCACTCTACACAGTAGTTGCATTCCTGGAAAATTCAATGTATATTATAAATGTATAAATCTTTTGTGTGTGTGTAAAATGGAGTTAAATTCTTGGCTCTCACAATATAAACAAGCTTTTCCCTAAGCAACATAGTGAGACCCCATCTCTACAAAGAATTAAAAAAAAAAAAAAAGCCAGGTGTGGTGGTGCGCTACTCAGGAGGCTGAGACAGGAGGATTGCTTGAGCCCAGGAGTTTGAGGCTACAGTGAGATACGATGACACCATTGCACTCTAGCCTGGGCAACAGAGCAAGATTGTCTCAAAAGACAAAAAGACAAAACAAAAAATGCTTTTTTTCACATGTTGTGCAGGATGTAGAACCTGCCTCCTGTGTGGGCTGTCTGGAGTCCCCGGCCCCCACCTTCTCAATGCCAGTCACTGCGATGACCAGCCCCCTGGGCCCCCAGTGGACACCACAGAAAAGATTCCTGCCTTCGCTCAAGGAGCTCCACATGTGCATAGGGAAGACAGATATAATCCAGAATTGCATATATGTGTTGGGTTGTGATGAGCGCAAGAAAGAATAGTAAGCAGCGTAAGAGGTTAGAGATCAGGTGGACAGGTGAAGGAAGGGCTCTCTGAGGAGGTGACATTTTGAGCAAAGACCTGTAGGAAATGAGGGGGGGAGCCAGGGAAATATGTGGCGGAAGAGCCTTCCAGAAAGGATAACCAATGCAAAGGCCATGAGGTGGGAGCATGTGGCTCGTTCAGGCCAAGGAGGCCGGTGTGTCGGGAACAGATGGGTGAGGGCGAGGGCTCCAGCAGTGGGGGAGGCAGCCAGGTGTAGGGCCTCTTGGTGTAGGCGCGGATGTTATCCTGCATGGGATGGAAGCCATCAGAGGGTTGTAAGTGGGAGAGGGACACAATCGGAGTTTGGAAAGGCTCACTATGACTGCCACATGGCACTGGGACTGTCACCAGGGAAGGGTGGGAGGAGGGAGACCGGGAGGTGAGAGGCGGGGGTTTGGGGTGCTTGCGGCTGGGCTGCGAGGTGATCAGATTCTGCCTGTGTTCTGAAGGCAGGGCCGGCTGAGCAGCAGCAGACTGGATGTGGGGTGTGGGAGAGGGACAGTGACAGAGAGAAAGTCGAGGCTAACTTGGCTTTGGAGCTTGAGCGACTCAGCCACCCGATTCCCCTTCCTCAATTCCTTTCTCACTTCAGATGGCTTGACTGCTCCGGTCTGGCTTCTCTCTGAAACTGCGCTCCCCGATGACACTGGAGACTGTGGGGTGGCCGACAGTGATAGAAACGTATCAGGTCTCAGTTCTTATTTGGTTTGCCCTTTCGGGAGCATAGGAGGCTGTTGGTCTCACCATCACATCCATCTTTCTGGTACTGTCCCCTTCCTCTGAGTCCAGAGCTCACAATAAAAACTTGTGAGGAGTAATTCAAGAAATTTAGGTCAATAAACCAAATAGTTCTGGAGTGTCGGAGTGTGCAGGCCCAGTTCTAGGTGCTGAGGAGACGAGAGTGAGCAAAACGAAGTCCTGGCCTGCACAGAACTTGCTATCTTGTGTATCGGATGTCAGCATGACACGTGCAGGTGCCTGGGAAATATCTGTGCACTGAATAGAGGCCGAACGGTGGGCGGACAGGAGTGAGGCTGAAAATGGTGACCCCAGCGCCAGAGAGTGGAATGGTGGGCTGGGTGCAAGGGCACCTTCCCGCAGAGCAGCCGGGACAGATAGGGTAGGTAACAAGCTGAAAGTACCAGGCCAAGTTTGGACCAGCACCTGGAGGCTGGGGCAGGTGTGGGGCTGTGGGGTGAAGGTGGGGATGAAGGGCCTTCTCACGTCTTCTTCGAGAGCTGCTGCCCCCTCTTGCTGTGTAGACTCATGGCTGGGGAGGGGCCCTGTCTCACAGATCTCTGCCCCCTTTGTGACCCGGCCCTGGGCTGGCTCATCCACACAGAAGTGGGTCTGTGAGGGGAGGGCACCGTGGCTGCTGGGGAACGTCCAGCCTACCTCTAGCTTCCCTGCTAGAGTGAAGTGCAATCTGCAAAGTCTAAATTTAGGCACAGGAAGGAAGGAAAGAAGAAAGGAAGGAAGGACCCCCTTGGCTCCCTGTGGAGGGGAAGGGAGGGGGCTGGTGCAGGAAGAGGCCTGGCCTGGCTTACCCCGGATGGACATGTGGGCACATGGGCAGTCTCTGGCTGAGTTCCCCCACCCCAGATGGAGTCTGGCAGACAGGATCAAGACTCTTCCAGCCGCAGTGGCTCTGGGACCCCTGCTGCCTGCACAGGCCAGGGACCAGGCCAGGCCAGGCCAAGCAGGGAGCTCCCACTGGTGGTTCCGGGTCCTTCCCCCACTCAAGACAGTGGTGCCAGCTGTGCCACCTGCTGGCTGTGGGGGGGGGCGGGACAGAGGGGGGATATGCTGCAGGAATGGAGTTAGGGACCTTGCACTGCCCAGCTGGGATGGCAGGGAGAAGGGCTGGGCCGGGGCCAGAGAGACAGAGGCAAGAACGGCAGGCAACACAGGCCACAGTGGCTCCAGATCAGGAAGTTTATTGCTGACATGCAGGAAGAGTCCCCCATGTAGTACAAAAATATGTCTTTATACAAACTTTTTTGTGATTTTTCTGTTTTGTTTCTTTACATAGGACTTCTCTCAGTGTGTGACACCCAGTGAGGGCAGACCTAGCCTCCTCTCGTTCGCTTCTCCAGAGATGTAATCAGACACACGGGTGACCTGGGTAGGGGCCAGTCATCTGACAGGGCTTTGCGGACCCGGAGGCTATTGCTTTGCAGAGGAGGAGACCACACATGGGAAGCAGGCCCGGGCGTCTGGCGGGGGCTCTGCTGAGCTGGGCCCTGGCCACGCCTCAGACCCTCACAGGACAGTCGGGGCTGGGAGCCCTAGGCTGGACCGCATCTCTGCTCCCTTAGGAGACTTTTCTTTATGAAATAAATATAGAAAAGAGGGCGTCCACCACCCCACGGCACGTGCCCTGGCTCTCAGAGACAGACGCAGAGCTTGGTGCTCAGGGGCAGTAAGTGCTGGGCTCAGGTGGGCTCCCACGGACCCACTGAGGCAGAGGCATGAGGCGCCCAAGTGCTGGATGGGGACATGGGGAGGAAGGGGCGTGGGCAGCCCTGCTACTGCTGGCAAGAGGTGGCCCCATTTTTTCCAGATGGGGAAACTGAGGCACAAGGAAGTTTGGGAACTTGCCCAAGGTCACTCACAGTGAGTCAGCTTTTTGGGGGGAGGAGGGCAGCTCATACTCTGGGAACACAGCCGCCTTCCCACTGGGGAGCAAGGACAGGCAGGAAGGGCCTGAGGGCCCAGGGGCTGCCTGGAGGGACACTCGGCCTCTCTGAGGGCTCTGGGGGTCGCCCTCTGGGGAAGGGTCTTTGCTTGGCATTAAGAAGGGCCAAGTCCGGTGGGGGGAGGGGGAGGGCATTCTGGAGAGAACAGCATTTCTGGCAAGACTGGCATCCACTTCAGAATCTCGGCTCAATAAGGACAGCAGGGCTGTTCTCATGCCAGGCGGGGCAGGGTTCCCCACCCCCTGTGAGGGACCCTGGCCGGGGTCTGCTGGGAGCGACACCATGTCTGTGAGGAGGCGGGGACACAGGGGAGATGGCCCACTGCCCTCTGAACACGGCACGGGGTCTCGGAGCGGCTGGCAGGGCCACGGCCAGGCCACCGCGCCCCCCAGCCGACCAGAAGGCCCCTTCACATTGCGAGTCCACGTCACCTCGGTACCACAGTGAAGGATGGAGAAGGAAACAGGGTTAATGCGTGTGTGTGCAGCACCTCAGAGAAGCTACCGAGACAGGAGAAAGAGCCAGGCCTAGAAAGGCCTCCCACCAGCGGAAACAGAGGGACTGGGGGCTGAAAGTGGAGGGGGTGGCGGAGGGCTCCTCCGTGCCCGGGGGTGAGGAGGGAGCCCACGGTGGGCTGCAGACTCCCTGCCGTCCAGCCAGGCTGGGGACAGGGAGTGGCCATGGGCCAAGCCACCTAGAGATGGGAGAGAAGTTGGTTACAGTAAAAAAATAAATATATTTGAATTCAGCCTAAGATGAGGTGAAGGTTTTCCAAAGCTTGGACTGAGGGGCCAGGGGCCAGAAGGGGAGGGAGGGAAGAGGCTGGGCAGGGCCCGGGGTGCTCAGGTGGGGCCAGCAGCGAGCTGCACTCTCAGCTTATTTGGACTGTGGGGTCAGGTGGGCGGGTGGGCTCCCTCCTCCTCCCTCTCACTCAGTGCAGAGACAGCGTGGTTAAAGAGACAGAGGTAGATTAAAACGTCATGATTAAAAGCAGATTAGTTATCTAGGCTTCTCAGATTAAAAAACCCCAAACAATCAAGCAATCATCTCAAAAGGTAGCTTCCTGGTACCTCTGCTGACCCCATGTGTGACCTGGGCTGTCCCCGTCCCTGCCCCATTCCCACTGCAGCCGGGAGAGTCCAGCACTACAGGGCCCAGCCCTGACAGCCAGCCAGGCCTTTGTCTGGGGGCTGGAAGAGGTGGCGGTGGCGCTGATGCCTCTGGCTGAGGCTATTTCCGCAGGTAGCGCTGGGCCAGGATGGCTGTGTCCAAGGAGGTCATGGGCTGTGCGTCATGGCCCAGCCGTCGCACCGGCGGCACGCTGCCGAACTGCCGCTTGGGCACCCAGCTCCTGGCCTCGTGGATGGAGCTCTTCTCCTCCGCCAGCAGCAGCTGCTGCCGCATGTAGTTCTCAAACTCGTACTGGGAGCACTCCTCGGTCACCTTTGCCTTTGAGGCCGAGAGGGAGGGAGCGAAACAGAGACAAACCAAGGTAAAGACAGAAGACCGGGAGTGAGAGCTGGAAAGCCTAGCTCCTGAGGCCTCCCTTCCCAGGTGCAAGATCCTCTGCCCCATCTCGTTGGGTAGTTGAGTGTGTGGGTCCCTGAGGACACCCAGACTCGCCTTGCTGCCCGCCCGGTTGTCAGTGCAGCTGGCTCCAGTCCGAGATCTGACCTGGATCCCTCTTCCTAACTCACTGACCTTGGGGGAGTTGACATTACCTCGGAAGCCTCAACTTCCCTACCCCTCGAAAAGGTCCTTCTGAGCCCTGCAGAGGCCAATGCACGTCCAGAGAGAGCAGGGCGCCCCGCTGGGCACTCGGGCACCTGTGCAGCCGTACGCACCGGCCCACGCCCAGCCCTCACCCGAGTGAGGTCCCTGTGCTAATCGGCGGAGAGAGAAAACAGGCCTTTGAAATCAGAGGTGAATTCAAGGCTCAGCCCCACTATGTCCAAGCTGTGTGACCTTCAGAAAATCATTTCACCTCTCTGAATCTCAGTTTCCTCTTTTGTAAAATGAGGGTAAGAACAAAGGCCACAATGCCCGCTGCGAGGCCTGCATGGCTGTTCTGCGGGCAGGCACCAGTGCATGATAGTGATAGTTATTTTAGTTGCTGCACAGCCCAGGAACGATGGGAGCGAGAGGGGGCAGGAACTGGAACTCTCTTTTCTCAAGGACCAGAGGCTATGCTGCACAGCCCTTCCTGGTGCGACCTGCCCACAACTTGCTGTGGGCTCTAAGCTGGGCCAGGGAGGGAAGGACCTTCCAACATCCCAGGCCCAGCTGAGCCCTGCCCTCCAGGGGGCACCCTAAGATCACCCACCAGCTGCTGCCTTGCACCCAGGATTCTGCCCCGCCCCCAGCCCAGCACTTTCTCCAGTGCAAGGAATGGGGAGGAGAGAAACAGGTAGAAATGAATCATCTGAAAAATGAAAAGCAGGAAGGGTGAGAGACTACCAGTGAGTCAGAGGGGCAGAGAAATGTGACTTGGGTGGAAGGAGGAAACTAAGAGAGCCAGACCAGCCACCTAGGCGCTGGCTCCACATGGGCTGCCCCGTAGGTGGCCCTTGGGCCAAAGGATCTCCAGCTGCACCAGACCTGGGCAGGCCCCAGGCAGCTCGGGCTGAGGAGGAAGGCCGAGAAAGCCCTGTGGCCTGCGGGGAGCTGCCATCTTTGCCCTTGCCCTGCATGGCTGCAACTCACCTCCTGGGAGCTGTCTGCATTGCCCATTTGGTCGTCAATGTCAGGAACCACTTGCAAAGGCCCACTCAGAGACGACAGGGACTGCCTGCAGGGGAGGCAGACAAGTCAGGCTGGCTCCAGGCAGCTCCAGAGAGGCCAGGTCACCACTGGTCTCAGATGTGGCTGGAGTCAGACAGGCCTGGGTTGGGTCCCTGACAGGACTGACTCTGCTTCTCAGGGCCTTAGTTTTCTCATCCAATAAAAGGGAGCACTTGGTCCTCGAAGGTGGTGGTGAGAACTCAGGGAGGCAGTGCCCGTGCCCTCGCTGCCATGGACCGACACGTAGGAGGTGCTCGGCCCTGACCTCTGCCTGGTCCCTCCTGCTCTTGCCAGAGGGAGAGTTTGGAACTCTGACTGTGCTGGCTGAGAAACAGGCTGAGCGGAGGCTGCTTTTCTGGGCAGGAGGGCAGAGCACCTGAGACCCAAGCCTTGTGCCCAGCCCCGCGTGTCCCCTTACCACGATGCAATGATGGCGCTGAGGGCTTCCAGGACGGCGGCAGCGGCCAGGCGCTGCTGGGGGTCAAGGACCAGCAGTTTCCGGATGAGACACACGGTGTTCTCAGAAACCCGCCCATCCCTGATGCAGGGAGAGGAGAAGGCTCAGCAGGTGGGTGGTGCTGGGTCACGAGCTGCTTCCCCTCCCCTTCCCTTCCCTCCTCCTTGCCCAGGGAGGCAGGACTCACTCCGGGATGGTGTACTCGGCGGCCTTGATCTTGCGGAAGAGCTCCTGCGGGATGCTGTCGTAGAAGGGGAACTGGCCGTAGAGCATGGTGAAGAGTACCACGCCTAGGGCCCACATGTCGCTCGGCTTGCCACGGTAAGGCCGGCCTGGGGGTAGACACACACACCACGCTCAGCCTGCGGGTCCACAGCTCCACCCAGACCACCCCTCCTGCCACCCTCCACTGTGCCCAGTGAGACGGTCAGAACACGCTTGTGCACGTGCTTGTCCCCTCCCTGCTCCTCAGGAGACCCTGCTCCGCAGGACCAGGATGATGCCCCACCTCGACAATCAGGCTGGGCCCCCCCACCTGCTCACAGCACCTGCCCTGCTCGGCTGTGCCGTTTGTCCAGCCACACTGGTAGCCCCTGGGACCAAGCCTGGGTCTGCAGCCCCAGTGTCAATAACATCGACAATGTTGTGGAAGGGATAACTGGCTCCGGATGAGTCAGCCACCCCCACAACCTGTTTCCTTCACAGCACTGATCAAAGCTGCAAAGGTCCCTTCTTTGTCGGTGTGTGACTCCTGTCTCCCCACTGCACGGTAAGTTCTCACATAGGCACCTTCCTGTGGCAATCACTGCTGAGCCCCAGTGCCTAGCATGGACCCAGGTATTTGTTAAATGAATGAATGAATGAACCTCTCTGTGCTATAGTTCCCTTATCTGTGAAACGGAAGGGAGAGGACATTTAACTGAGTACCCACTTTGTGACAGCACTGGAAGAAATACTTTTATTTCACTAACTGTCCTCTACAGCTCTATGACATTGAGACCCAGGGATGTCCAACCACCCATCAGCAATAGAGCACCTCCCACGTGCCAACCACTGCCTGACCCGCACCCTCAAACAAAAAATATGAGGACCACTGAAGCCTCCCAAAGCCCCTGCTCTAGTCCAGTCCCTGGGACACAGCCACTCTGGGACACCAATAGGATGCAGCAGCTCAGATCCCTGAACACAACTCTACTCTCTGTGGGCGTGGAAGAGATGCTGGGCACCTTAGTGTCATCTCTCTGGGTGCCAGACAGCACCCAGGCAGCTAAGATCCCTCCTCTGGGTCCCTGTGCAGTGAGCTATTCAGGCCGCAAAGGCTCCTGGGTAGCCGAGCATGCCTTTGGGGCAGGGGAACTGGTTCTGATGGTCTCACTGGGCACACTGGAGTCAAGGAGCTTAATGAGGTGGGTACGTGCAAAACTCCCAGGCCTGGGGACTGGCACCACTGTCCTCTGCACACGGTAGCCCTGGGAGAGGCCTGGCTCTCCAGGAGAAGCCGTGGCTGGGGGGAGGCCTCCAAAGGGGCTGCAAGTGCTTGTGCTCGTCACAGCAGCCTGCTCCCCAGGGGCATGTGAGATGACCTGGGAAGAGACTGGCTCTGCACACGTGTGTGGGTGGGGATGATGGACCCTGGAGACAGCCCCAAATCCTCCATGTCGGAGGGATGGGAGCCAGAATAAATCCCTGGTTCCCTAAGGGATGGGGACCAGAGAGACCCTGATTTGGCAAAGGACAGGGGAGAAAGGGAAAGAAACCATTAAGAGCATAAGCCTTAGCAGAAGGAGCCCTGGAATGGCCCCTCAGTTTTTTTGCTATGACTTTGGCCAAGCAACGCCACCTTTCTTTTTTTTTTGAGACAGAGTCTCACTTTATTGCCCAGGCTAGAGTGAGTGTCGTGGCGTCAGCCAAGCTCACAGCAACCTCAAACTCCTGGGCTCAAGCAATCCTTCTGCCTCAGCCTCCCGATATGCCACCTCTCTAAACCTCAGTTTTCTCATCTGTAAAAAAGGGACTTAGGATATACCCAGGAATTCCTAGCTCTCCTTAAGCTCTCAACTGTCACCTCCTTGGCTAAGTCCTCTAAGCACTCTTCACACACCCTCACCGAAATCACATCCTTCCCTTCCCAGCACGAGTGTCAGAGAGTCACTGAACATGCATTAGTGTGACCTACGTCCTCCTCCACTAAACACTTCGTAGGGGGAGGGACAGTACTGGTTTGGGCCACCGGGGAAGCCCCAGCACCTGACCCAGGGCCTACCCACAGACGCGGTCTGTTGAACGGATGAACTGTCTGGCGCACGTACCGCTGAGCACGTCGGGACTGATGTAGGCGGGGCTGCCCCTCTGGTCCTTCAGCAGGTCCCCCTCACTCACCAGATGCTTCCCGAGGCAGAAGTTGGTGATGGTTATCCGATGCGTCCTGAGGGCAGGAGGCAGAGAGTGCACAAACCTCAGTGACTACAGCAACAGGCACCAGACGCAAAACAGGAAGGACATCCCCTGCTGGGACAAGGACAACCCCAACACTGATGGAACAGAGCGGGCTTCTCATCAGAGGGTGAAGCAGCTGCTCCCACCCAGGGAGCCGAGGAGCCAGGCCCACATCCTTTCCTGGCCACCTGCCGACCTGTCCCAGCAGGGATCTGCATCACTCCCAATCACCTGAGTGTTACAGGGGACTCCCCTGAACCTGTCACCCTGGCTGAGTCTCAGGGGGTACAGCTTAGGGCTCAGAACGACATTCAAAGATTTCCCAAAACAGCCTCACATGATATTCTAGATTGGGAGTAACCTAGAAACGTACAGTTCAATTCTCCCACTCGCACATGAGGAAAAGCAAGTCCAGCAGGGGACAGTAGCTTTAAAACACTCCCACCCCACACTGTGAGGTGACCAGAGGGCAGGCCTCCAGCCTCCTCTGTCAACTCACTGTCTCGTTCAGTCTCACGACCACTGCAAAGGAGGAAACAGAGCAGCTGAGTGCCTCTCTCTGGGGGGGGTGGTGGTGATGCAGCACACCAGGGCCTGTGCGCTGGGCCTCACTGGGGGGCCCTGGTCCTGCAGGGCACAGTTTGCCCACACCCTGGTGGAACATAGAAGCTGGCCCTTCACCGTGTGCTCCAGATTGAGACAAGGCCCCTGCTGACAGCACAGCCCATCCTCTCTGGGGGAGCCCGGGTCTCTGCGAGGAGCCCATGCCCCTGGCACTGCTTCCAGTCAGGCAGCACCGGGGTGGAGAGGAGGGAGCCTGAGTCATCCCAGCACTTCCCTCCAGCCTGACAGTCCCCAGAGGCTGATGGGGGTGGGAGGGGAGGATGGCAGCACAGTTGTCACAGCCCAAGAGTAACAGCACACCCAAACTTAGTCACCCTCTGTCTTTCCAAAACCCCACGACAGGCCAGAGCTTGCCTGGGAGACTTTGGCATTGGGAGGATGGCCTGGGATGTCTTCTGGGTAGTTCTGGGATAGCATTACCTCCCGTCTGCAGGCGGAACCAGTGACAGCACAGGACCCCTTGCTCTTATGAACAAACAGAACCTTAGCCATCCTTTCCTTTATGGCAGGGGTGCACATGCTGGGGCAGCCTGACTGCCAGGGATGGCCCGTCCACGCAGGCCAGCAGCCCAAGACCAGGCCGCCTATGGGCCACCTGTGTTGGGGTCTCCGGTCTGCCTTCCTGCTGCACGTGATGTGGTGTCTGTGGAGGGAACAGGCACACGGCTCACTGGGGAGAGGTGTGTGCTGTACACTTTTCCTCACAGTTTCTGCTCAGGAAAGAAATTCTGTGGGGGGGCAGCAAAGTAGGAAGTGGGGTGTCCCAGCACCAGTCAACTGGGCCTTCTCTAAATGGGCGCTGGGTTCATCTTGCTCAGGGAACAGCGCACTTGTGAGGACCAGGAAGGTGAAGGCTGGAGAGAAGACGGCCCAGGAAGAGGACACAGCCCGTGTGGAGGCCATGAGGCAGTAGAGTGTCACATATTTCGAGGGACTGAGAAGAGGATGGTGAGGCCAGAGCGAGGGTGAGGAAGGTGAGGTGACGGTGAAGATGTGCTTCCCTCGTGTCAGAGTCATTCACAGGCACTGACTCACTTATCCTGCACAATCATCCTCTGAAAGAGGAATCATTATTACCCTCATTTTATAGGATGGGAAACTGAGGCAGGGAGAGTTTAAGTCACACAACTAGGAGGCAGCCAAGCAGCAGTCTGGCCCTAGAGCCTATGCTCCTCTTGACCTCTGCTCCTCCGCTGGGGAGGTGGCCTGCTCCCTTTTTCCTCCTTCCGGAAAAGCTCTGGGGCTACCACTGGGGTCCCTTGCAAAAGCTCAACAGGAAGCAGCTCCAGAGCACATCGTTCCTCTGCTGGAGGGGTCAGGACCGACGCTACCTGGCTGGGTTAGGCACTGGCCTAAGAGATGCATTGCCTTCCTGCACACAGAGGTAGGGAGCACACTGCAGTCACATGAGTGACACAACGTGATGAGGAGCCGCAAACGCCTGCAGACGCCCCAGACGCTTCTGGGGATTCTCCACCAGAAGCAGCAGGCAGAGAGGGAGCATTTGGTTCAAGCCAGGCCCTGACGCACCAGGAGGGCCCTCGCATATGCTTTTGCACACTTTGGGAGGTCCTGGGCCAGCAGGTGGGGGAGGTTCCACTTGCTTTGGAAGAACCAAGCAAACTGGGGTGCTCAGGTGATACTGAGAGCTTGGGTGCCACTTTTGTCCTCACTGGAGACCTCTTTTGTCATCATCCTTGTCATCATCAGCTAATAGCAATAAAAGCTGATGCTCACTGAGCACTTAGGGTAGGCCTGAGTGGACTGTTTCCATTCACTCCTCACAATAGCCTAAGAGGGAGCTTTTCTCATTGCCCTGTTTCAGATGAAGCAGCTAAGGCACAGGGAAGTAAGGGGACTTGCTCAAAGACACACAGCTAGCCAGCAGGATCCGAACCCAGGTCTATTGGGCCCTGAAGCTGCACTCAGGACTGAGAGCTGCCGGGAGCCCAGATGTGTCTCTGGGCGATACTCTAGGCCCCCACGGACTTTTCCTTTGATCCCATCAAAGCTGACTCATCCCTTTTCTCATACTTCAGACCCAGCCCTGACCTAGAACACCGCAGACTCCCCTCTGTGAGAGGCGTGATGCAGGACAGCTTCGGCCTCCGATCCTTTCTAGGAAGCTCACAATGTGGAAAAAGCAAGCACCCCAGAGAGGACCCTTCACCACACCTGGGGTGAGGGGTAGGCAGGCCCCTTCTACGAGGCTGGGGAGGGCTTCCTGCCCTTGTAAGGAGGGGGCAGTGAGGAAGACGCCAGAGTGCCTCTCTACACAGCTGCCCGGCTCCTGCGTCAGCTGGCTGGGTGAAACAGCCGGAGCGTGACAGGGAGGGAAGCTGCACGGGGACCTCAGGCTGCCTCTGACCAGAGTGAAGACTCTGAGGTGCAGGACACGTGTGGCTGACAGTGGATTTCCCCAGGAGCTGCGTCCAAGAGGCTCTGAGAGCCCTTTAGCTATCTTGGGGAATTCTGCTGGCAAAGGGCTCGGTGCAAAACAAAGGCCAGTCTGTCCTCTGCATTCCAAACGGAAATGTCGACTGGGGCCCACACAGGCCCACCCCGACAGCTGCCACAGAAATCTGACCAGCAGCCTGCAGGGCGGTTAGGGCCCAAAAGCACAGGCAAAGGGTCTCAGTGAAAGGTGACGCATATATCAAGAAGTAGACTGCTCCAGCTCTGAACTTCCCATGTCATTGCCCTGAATATAGGACCGCTCAGGCCTCTGGTGCAAAGGTTCCCACAGAGCAGAAGCATTGTGTGTTTTCCCCCCTCAGAGATGGCTGCTGCAGCCGCACAAGCATCCTGTAGGGCCCCGAGGCTCGAGACCCTGGGAGGAGCTCAGAGGAACATATATGGTGGGTGTGGGAGTCAGATTCTTAGGTTCTAGGCCTGACTCCTCTACTTCCTTGCTGTGCAAGTCTCTTGCTAAACCTCAATTTCCTTATCTGTAAAGCAGGGAAATCCTAGCACTGAACTCCCATGACTGTTCGGATTCGTCAAGATAAGATAATCCCACATGGCCAGCGCGGTAGCTCCTGCCTGTCATCCTAGCACTCTGGGAGGCTAAGGTGGGCAGATAGTTTGAGGTCAGGAGTTCGAGACCAGCCTGAGCTAGAGTGAGACTCCATCTCCACTCCAAAATAGAAAGAAATTAGCTGGACAACTAAAAATATATATAAAAAATTAGCCGGGCATGGTGGCGCATGCCTGTAGTCCCAGCTACTCAAGAGGCTGAGGCAGGAGGATTGCTTGAACCCAGGAGTTTGAGGTTGCTGTGAGCTAAGCTGATGCCACGGCACTCTAGCTGGGGCAACAGAGTGAGACTCTGTTTCAAAATAATAATAATTTCACAGAGGGCACTTAGCCTAGCAAATGGTAGTAGCTGGTGTTATCCTGTCATCCTCTGAGGGTTGGCATGCCTGGCAGAGGCTACAGACAGAGACCTCAGGAGAGACTCCACATCTGAGGCAGGGGAGGAGAGGTGTCAAACAAAAGAGCCCGCACACCTGCATGGCTTAGCTTCAACTCCACTTTGCTGGCCAGACTTTACAGCCCTCTGCCAGGGTGCGAGGCAGGTGGGGCTCAAGGGAGCACCACTGAGACTCTACAAGGTGGGGCGGTAGGCCCCCCCCGAGTGGCAGGCCCACTCAGCTTGTGCTGCTCTGCCACTGAGGTTCCTGGACTCTCTCCACAGGAAACGACACGGTCAGCTCTGAGGCCTCTTGAGGCTTGGCAACGCTCCCCTGCCCTGCCACCACCGCCCAAGGCGGCCAGGAGGCGCTCAGCTCCCTGGGAGTGCCAGACCCCCCAGTCCTGTCCTGAGGGGGCAAGGGCAGTGAGGGACGGAGGGAGGGGATGTGCGTCAGCAGGGTCGGCTCCGAGTGAGTCACGCTTTGGCTATGGCCCTTTGGGCTGCCACAGTGTTTTTCTCTTCTAGGAACTTGGTATGCAGCCTGCCTACCCAAAGAAAGGGGGAAGGAGAAAGAACTCGCAGCAAACCTCACATAACCCCTGAAGAGGATTTCAGATTTCAACTCTTTTTTTCATCCAAAGCAGGTGACTTTGTCCCTCTCTCTGGAACTGCTCTGTTCTGCTGCCTGGAAGCAGACGAAGGCCTCCAGCCTGTCTACCTGCCGCTCCAGCTGGAGTCGGGAAGGGGCGGGACTCTTCCAGGTGGACCTTCACCTGAGTGAGGTGAAAGTGGGGCTCCGGAGTGGAGGGTGTGCCCGAGGATACACACAGAGCAGTGTGTCTCTCTGTACCATGCCACCCGGCCCCCTTCTGGAGCACCCGTGACTAAAGTGAAAGGCAGCCAGAACCTCTGTCTGCCCTAAAACACAAAAAAGGCGATTATCAGATTAAGGAAGTGCAGCCAAGATGCTGGATCTGAGTGAGGTATTGGGGTTCTGCAACCTGAGGAACAAACGCACACACGCACGCACGCACGCACAGCAGAGCAGCTACATTGCCACACTCGAGAGAGGTGCAATCTCCCGAGTATATTCCCAGGACCCAGGAGGTCTGGAGAAGTGAGAGTCAGAAGCAAACCCACCAGTGTCACAAAGAGGCCAGGAGTGCTGGTGTGGTTAGCCGGCAGGACTCCCAACTGGGTGTTCCCATGACAACCCTGGGGATGCTCATTTAGAGCCAATGAATGGCTGCCATGGAAGGCTCAGGAGCTCTCTAGTCCAGAAGGACTTAGGTACTCAAAAAACAAGCCCTCTCTTTGTGAACAGTGAACCTGCAGTCAGAGCAGGATAGGACTGGCCCAAGGTCCCACAGACGGCCAGGGCCTAACCTCCCAACTCTCAGACAATAGGCTTTCCACAGCTCTGGGCTGGGATGCTCAGTGCTCCCCAACACCTGCCCTCCTCCCAGAATGCAGAGCTGTGACTGGGGAACTGCTGAAGGACACTGAGCCTCACCAGGTGTCCTCATCAGCCATGCAGCAGGCCATCTCTGGAAGCAAGTCACGAGGCCCCCAGTCCTGGCTAGATCAGCAGCAGGGGCGTGCTTACGATGGCCAAATCCTGTTAGGCAGTTTCACAGCTATTAACTTGCACCTCAGGCCAGCTTTCCAGGAAGGTAAAGTCACCACTTCTCTCGCACAAGGAAACGGAAGCTCAGAGAAGGGCCTGGTAGCCCAGCATGTGAATTCCACCAGTGAGTAAATAATCAAGCGAGCACACTCTCACGGTCTCCAAAATAACTACAGGCAGCACTGGAATATAACCAGGTCTGACCCCCATGTGCATGCTGCCTCTGTCCCTAACTCACTCACACAGCCAGTCCAGGACCCAAGCAGCCCGGGCATTTCCTGTTTCTTTCCCCCCTCCCCGTGGAGCATGACAGGGCCAGGTTCTCATCACTCCACTTTATCAGGCTGGCAAATCGCCATGCAGCCTTCATAAATCAACTCAGATGGCAGAGTCACTGTCCCCTCCATGTGCCCCCAGCTCTCTGAACGCTTGGCTTTGTACGTGGTATTCATCTTCTGGTCAGCACCCCATCAGCTAGTGAGCTCCATGGGGGTCATGGTGGTGGCCGGGAGTTCCTGTCTGCAGCCCTAGCGCCAAATGCTGCTGGCGGGAGGAGGGAGACTGGCTTAGCTGCTATGGTCTCCAGCGTCCTCCCCGTGGCGACTCAGGCTGGAACTGTGGGGTCTGGTGCCCCCCACCCAGAGCCTCCTTCCGTGCAGCTTCTCTTCTACTCTGACCACTGTGGCTTTCACCACTTTATAGGGACAGTGGGCCTAGGGCCTTTCCTGGGTGGGGCTGACCATGTTATACAACGAGTCACCCACCCACCACACCACTTCTGCTGAGACTTGTGCTGCCTGCCATTTGTAAGCCCTCCAACCCACTCAGCACCTGGGGTGACAGAGGTGAGGGAGGCAGGCTCAGGAAGGGAAGGGGGGATGTCCTTCCCAGACCTGCGTTTCTAGCATCATGGTCACCCACAGAGCCATCCCACCTCGTGTCGGTCCTGGGTACCTGTGTGACTGGTGTCCCTCTATCACTGTCCCAGACCACTCTGAAAGGGCCCAGACCCTCTGTCAAGGTGGGGTGATGGCCTCAGATTGGGGCCTCAAGTGATCTCCCTCTGCTGTTGGCTCACCAAGGATTCTGGGGTGAGGTGCCCAGGTCCCCTCCAAGTCCAAGGCACTCTCCCTGCTGCTGGGAGGGCTGGCTTCTGACCACTCCCAGCTGTGCTGCTCTCCAGGAACCCCCCTTAGCCAAAAGCTGCTGCCTTGCCCAGGGCAGGCCCCTCCCTAGGGACAGTCTAGGGAGGGTGTCCAGTGACTAGTCACTGTGAGGCACAAAGGGCGAGAGCCCACTTGCCTTGAGCTGGTCCATCCGAAGGGCCATCTGGCTCTGGAGCTCTTTAGGCTGAGGTCCTGCTGTGACTTCCCTGCAGTTCAGCTTCTCCTCCTGCCCAATTGCAGCCCCTTTCTCCCTGAGAGCACTCCCCATAAACCTGTGCAGAAAACTCTGAGTCTCTCCTGAGGAAACTGACCTAGGCAAGGCCTCATTTTTCTCTTTCCTTCATTTTTATAGTCATTTACTGAGCACCCACTAGGAGCCAGGTATGACAAATAGATGGACCAGGGAGGATGTCTGAAATTCTTCCCAGAGCTCCCATTCTGCGACTCTGAAACTCCTAGTCTCAGCAAGCACCATACATTCCCATGCGGCAGGAGGCAGCAGCAGGTGTCCCATCCCTTGAGCCCTGGGATTCCTGGAGAAGTGAACTGTTTTGAGTCAGAATCACCATGGGACACCGCAGGCACTGGGGAGCTGCAGCAGGTAGCCTGTCCCAACTCAAGGGTGACAGCATCGAAGAAGAAATGGGAATCTTACCTTTTATTGAGCACCATGTTCCCGAGCTTCAGGTCTCTGTGCACAATGTTTTTCTGGAAGACAACAGGCATATGGTTGGTCGGTACTATAAATGTGAGAGATGGGGTCAGGGTCCACCCTGTAAGATGTGGGCTCTCCAGGTATTTCGGAAGGCGGGAAACACTCATGACATGTCTCTTTAGGCTCAAACCACAGGCATATCAGAACAATTCTAAAGCCTCACTATGTATGTGTCTGAACAGGGTAACGTACACCTATCAGTGTCTGCCCACCCAGGGCAGTTTCCTTAGCTTTCTCTCCCTCAGGGCAGCAACTAGTGTGCAATGCCAGTGGCCTCTTCCACTCCATCAGACATTGTAAGGATGGGCTAGATCTGGGGGTCAGAGGTGACCTGTCATGGCTCTGTGACAGAAGTGTTGTGCCAAGAAGAGGCAAAAAGCTCAGAGGCAAAAAAGCTCAGGTGGCCACCCAGGTGGATATTCCAAAGTCGCCACCAGACCTGAGAGACTACAGTGTAGTCCTTGGCTGATGGGGAATTACTGCACGGGGTCTGCTGGGCTGCCCAGTCAGCCCCCACCAGAAAGGTAGGCCAGGGCCACCTCACTGTGCCTCACCCGGTACACTTGCCGTTCAGCCACTCTCCCTCTGGACACCCCCAGCTGCAGTGCACAACTGGGTGAGGCGGGACAAAGCTGCTTTCTGCTCAGCAGCAGCAGAAAGCAGAGGTGGCTTTCCATAGGAGGGAGCGGCGGGGGGCAGGGCCTCACCTGGTGCAGGGCCTCCACCACGCGCACCACGTCATAGAAGATGACCACCGTCTCCCGTTCGCTGAGCCTCTTCTCCTTGATGACGTAGTGCTGCAGGTTGATGAGGTCGGCGGTCTTGTCACTGAAGTCATGTGCACAGAGGCAGTCCAGGACAAGGCAGATGCGCTTCTTCATCTTCTTGACCATTCGGCTGGATTCTGTGTCCTCGACGATTTCACAGGTGCGGTCCTGGGAGGCAAGGGGGCAGAGCAGGGCTTGGCTGTACACTCGGCAGGGCCAAGGCAAGGGTCTGAGACGCTCCTTGGGAGCTGGATACTCAAACCAATGAAAGAGCCCAGAACAAGCCTGCACATGTGGGTGGTAGGGGACTAAGGCCTGGGCAGCCTGGACCATGGGGCCACTCAGCACTGCTCAGCTTCCCATGTGCAAAGGCCAGGCCCAGCAAGGGGTTGAGGTTAAAACATCTCAGGTAGGCCGGGCGCAGTGGTTCATGCCTATAATCCTAGCACTCTGGGAGGCCAAGACAGGAGGATCGCTTGAGCTCAGGGGTTTGAGACCAGCCTGAGCAAGAGCGAGACTCCATGTCTACTATAAATAGAAAGAAATTAGCCAAACAACTAAAAAACAAATAAATAAAAAAGGAAAAAAAATTAGCTGAGCACAGTGGCATGTGCCTGTAGTCCCAGCTACCCGGGAGGCTGAGACAGGAGGATCGCTTGAGCCCGGGAGTTTGAGGTTGCTGTGAGCTAGGCTGATGCCACGGCACTCTAGCCCAGGCAACAGAGTGAGACTCTGTCTCAAAAAAACCATCTCAGGTAAAGGCTTATTGCTTTGATCATAATGCAAAGGATTTGGATCAGGGCTAAGCATTTAAAGCCCAAGGGCCGTCTTAGCCCAGTGCACAGGCAGCACACCTGGGTTCTGGGGCATCCTCCCCTCCATGGTACTCCCAGATTCCAACAATCACCAATGTAACTTCCTTCCAACGTTCAAGATGGTAGAAGTTAAAGAGAAGTCAATCTTGGGCCGGGCACGGTGGCTCCTGCCTGTAATCCTAATACTCTGGGAGACCAAGGTAGGTGGATCACTTGAGCTCAGGAGTTTGACAGCAGCCCGAGCAAGAGCGAGACCCTGTCTCTACTAAAAATAGAAAAAATTAGCTGGGTGTGGTTGGCTTGCTCCTGTAGTCCCAGCTACTCGGGAGGCTGAGGCAGGAGGATCACTTGAGCCCAGGAGTTTGAGGTTGCTGTGAGCTAGGCTGACGCCATGGTACTCTAGCCCAGGCAACAGAGTGAGACTGTCTCAAAAAAAGATAGGTTGGCTGGGCACGGTGACTCACGCCTGTAATCCTAGCACTGTGTGAGGGTGAGGCGGGCAGATAGTTTGAGCTCAGGAGTTTGAGACCAGCCTGAGCAAGAGTGAGACCCTGTCTCTACCAAAAATGTATGCTCACAGCCTGCTGTGAGCTAGGCTGACGCCACGGCACTCTAGCCCAGGTGACAGAGTGAGACTCTGACTCAAAAAAGAAAAGAAAAGAAAAGAAAAGAAAAAAGACAGGTCAACCTTGGAAGGCTCTGAAGGTCACACAGTGTTGTGTGCATCCATGACAACAGCTTTCCTCCTGACAGTCACACAGTGGTGGTTAAGAGCATGACTTTGACCCTGGACGGCTAGGTTCAGGGCCCAGCTCCACCTAGTCTTAGCTGTGGGACCTGGGGCAGTTTGCTTCACCTCTCCAGGTCTCTAGCTTCTCATCAATCCCTCCTCAGAGGTTGCGGAGAGAAGGAACTAAGACACCCATTCCCAGTGCTTAGGTCCTGCCTGAGTTCTGCCGTCGGGGCTTGGGAAGTAGGTCCTGCTGCCCACACTGTGGCTGCAAGCTTGAGACCATTTTCTTCCTGAAAAGTATTTCAAGTCAGACAAAAAACAGAACAATATGGGGACTTTTGTCCTACCAACTTGAAGAGGCCCTTGGTGTCATCCCCAAAAGACTTATTATTCCCTCCGGGGAGCTCTTAGAGGACTGAATATCCACACTTCTCCTTAAAAGCAGGATCACACCCCTCATTCACTCTTCCCCTGAGACCCTAGCACAGTGTCTGGCACACAGACACTGTGTGCCAGAAATACATTTTTTTTTTTTGAGACAGAGTCTCACTCTGTCACCTGGGCTAGAGTGCTGTGGCATCATCGTAGTTCACTACAACCTCAAATTCCTGGGCTCAAGCGATCCTCCTGCCTCAGCCTCCCAAGTAGCTGGGACTACAGGTGTGGGCCACTACACCTGGCTAAGTTTTCTATTTTTGGTAGAGATGGGGTCTCATTCTTGCCCAGGCTGGTCTGGAACTCCTGAGCTCAAGCGATCCTCCTGCCTCGGCCTCCCAGAGTGCTAGGATTACAGGTGTGAGAGCTACTGCACCCAACCTAGACATACTTTTGATCTTCCAGGTTCTTTTATCTAAGATGACATGAACCAAGGCCACACTTTTAAAGATATCAGAGACAAAATACTAAGAGATCACAAGCACCCTCAATTTGATTTCATGTTAAAGGGAAATGCTCTAATTTTTGGGGTTGCCTCTAATTGCAAATCTAAGAATAAAGACCTTGGCAGGGTGCATATGTGGGTGTAGGAGGCATTTTCCATTTGTTTTATTTCAGGAAATCAAGCTGACAAGGAGTTTTTATTGCCTGAAATAGCAATGACGATGAGAGTGTGCCAGCAGCAGCTCAGTGCTTTACGCTCCCATTCATCTTCCCAACAGCCACACGAGCTGGGCACCATTATCATTAGCCCCATTTTACAGATGGGGAATCTGAGGCCTAGAGACCTGAAGTGACTTACCCAAGGTCACACCACCCGAACTCAGGACTGTCAACATCAAATCCCATGCGTCCTCTCTGGCACCATGCTGCCTCTCCAGTAGTGGGTCCACCTCAGCAAGAGCTGGGCCTGGCTCAGGGCCTGGCGGAAGCTCTGCTGAGGAGCAGGGCTGCTCAAAGGCCGCCTGGTCATTCTGAACCCAACTCTTCATTTCTAGAGACACAATTTTAGCTCTGCCCCAAGGATAGCACTTTTCGGGGTACAAGTTACTAATTATGACCTTTCCTAGGGGACCTGGAACATCTGAGTACAGGAGCCTGAAATGCCTGGGCAGGCAGAAGGACCGCTGGCACCAAAACCAACTACGGAGACCTACAGAGAGTCCCCAGTGCTGATTCTTCCTTATCGCCCTGCCTTCCACCCTGGCCTGGCCAATTCCTGATTCCTAATGACATCAGTTGTAAAGAGCCTGGGTATTTTTTTTGCTTTTTTGAAGGTCTTGTTCTGTTGCCCAGGCTGAAATACCACGGCATGCTCATAGCTCACTGCAGCCTCAAGCTCCTGGGCTCAGGCAATCCTCCTGCCTTAGCCTCCCAAATAGCTGGGACTACAGGAGTGCGCCATAAATGCCTAATTTTTCATATTTTTTGTAGCGATAGGGTCTCACTGTGTCACCCAGGCTGGTCTCAAACTCCCAACTTCAAATAGTCCTCTTGCCTTGGTATCCCAAAGTGCTGGGATTATAGGCCTAAGCCACTACGCCTAGCCTTTTTTTTTTTTATTAAACCAAAGTATTTTACAGAACTGGGTGTCTTTAAATGACTTCCTGTTTTCTTCTTTTCTCGGAAAAGCAGCTCTTCAAAGAAAGCCTGATGCTGTGAGATGCAAACTGTGTGCATTCCTGCTAGGCTATGACCCATCACCACAGGAACACTGCGACAGCTAGGCTGGCCCCCGCCTGACCCCCAGCTCCCTCCACCCAGGAAGTCCCGATGCATGGCTGGGTCACCAGCGGGTTACACGTCACAAGCTGCTCACAGTACAGCTTGGCCCCAGCAAATGTCGATGCCTGCTGCCAGGCAGGCATGGGAGCCAGGGTTGGAGGACATGCCACTTACCTGGAAGAGCCCGTGGTGGTGAACCACGCCATCCTGCGTGTGGAGCAGGGAGAGGAGCGAGTACTCGGTGTGCAGCAGCATCTTGCCCTGCCTCTCCTCTTGGCTCTCTATGCCTTGGTCCCCCCTCTCCTCAAGTGTCAGGATCTTTAGGAATGCACAAAAACAAAACCACAAAGCTAGGACACCTCACTTCACACAGCAGAGTGACCGGAATGGGGTGGGGGCAGGGGGCTCACTTTCTTCCACCAGACACTTGTGTACAACGCACATGCAAACACCAAGTGAAACCATTTTTCTTAATGTGATGGCAATGTAATTTATGCACAGACAAAGCTCTTAAATTAGGAGGTGGTGTGAGTGAGACTGGGAACTTGATTGCTTCATGGAAGAAATGGCACTACTCCTGTTCACAAGTCACACAGACGTGAAGGTGGGGGAGGGAGTGGGCTGGCAGGATTGGCCCCAGTCCCGAGGTGCCCTGCCCCCACACCTCACTCACCTTCAGCTGATAGAAGTCATCTGTGCCATCTTTCCTCGCCAAACACTGCACGATGCTTGGCACTGGTGAGTTGCCCAGACGGGGACCTATGGCGCAGAGAGCCACTGGCTTACTTTTCAGAAGTTCTGGCTATTGTGGAGCCAGGCTACCATGGGGTCTTTTGACTAAACCTTCTCTTCAGGAGGGCACCACAGTTCACACACACTAGGCTGGCCACCCTCCTGCCTCCCCAGGTCTCCTAGTGGAGAGTGTCCATGATCTCCCCTTCAGAAATGGAGAAAGATGTGTGTGCATCTGCCAGAGACACACTCGGCTTCTGTAGGCACATTTCTCAAAGACAGGTTTCCAACCGTGGGTGGGTGATGGAATCTCTGGGGAGCAGCTGTTAAAAACAAGAGATCCCAGGCTGCAACCTGGATGCTTTGAACATCAACTCCAGGGTGAGGATCCAGGAAACTATGGCTCTAACAAGCTCCCATGGTAACTCTGGTACAGCTGCCTGGCCTCTGTCCCAGTGTCAGTTTTGGGGACCTCCTGTACTTCTAGAAATGCTTAGTGCTTGTTGGCCTGTGATAGCATCCTCCCTGAGCTTTCAGAGTGGCAATCAAACCATGTCCCACTGCCACTGCTCTGCGAGAAACCCTTCACAGAGCCCCACTGCTCTTAATATATCACCCAAACCTCCAAGGCCTTGCATGATTGGGCTCACCTTTCTAACTGAGTGGGTTCCATCCCCGTCCCCTGCCATACTTCAGTTATAGTGGGCTCCTAACTCCTAACACGATAAGCCCTTTCCTGCCTCTGGGCCTTTGCACTTGCTGTTTCTTCTATCTGGAATGCTTCCTGCTTTTCACGGAGCTGCTCTTGCTCATCTGTGGGCTCAGATGTCACTTCCTCATGGAGGCTTTTCTTGTCTACGCTATCCATAGGCCCTTCTCACTCTGACATCATCTTGTTAACTTCTTTCAGGGCACCTGCACCACTGATGATGATCTGGTATGTTGTTTCAACTCTCTGTTTCTCTTCCCAACTGGAATGTTACACTCCAGGAGGGCGGGAACTGGTTTGACTTATCCACTGCTGCAGCCGTGGCAAACGGCATAGGCCTGGAGCATAGCAGGCACCGTTTGCTATGTGCTGAATGACTGCAGCTGGAACTACCTGTGCCCATAAAGTCCAAAAGTAAAACTCACACCGAGTCTCTGGCTGCCAGGAGAGTCAGGGTTCTCAGAGCCCACACCCCCTGCAATCCTGACCACAAGCACTCTGGACCAGTTCTCAGGCAACATGCAGAAAGGCCCTGATGCTCCCCTGGCTGACTGGGAACACACAACGCCATGGGATTTCTTGCTAATTTTACAAGAAGCTGGCGGGGCGGTGGGGGGCACTATACAAAATGCTTTGTGAAAGTAATCATGCCATCTAAGCATGGTCTGAGCGGTGCCTTGGATGATGGATCTTGGGTTCTAATGCAGCTATGTGCTTCCTGTGGGCACATCAACATTCTGGGGGCACACAAAGGATTCTCTGGGGGAAGAGGCAGATGCTAGCTATCAACTGAGACTGATCTAAGACTAGTGCAGCTACAACAAAACTGACAGCCCTTGGTGCAGAGTGACCTGAGGCCTGGGTCTTGCACTGACATAAATAAATATACTCCATTTAAAGCGATGAAGCTAGGGATCAGGCTCAGGGCTAGTCAGCACCCCATGCTGCTGTGGGTGGGCCACCTTACTCTGGGTGTCTGCAGGCCAGATGTGGAAGCCAAAGGGCCCTGCCCCGGCCCCCTGCATGCCATTCCCCTCAGGGTCAGAAGCTTACCAAGGATGAATGGTCCAGCTCTCTTTGCATTATTTCCAGAAATCCCACTTCCTAGAGCCTTCGACCTGGCCGACGTTTCCCCAGCTCCTCTGTCTGATGCTCTCCGCTTCATTCTCAGCTCTGGACAAGACAGAAAAGACCCCTTCTCACTAAGTCAGCGAGGTTCCTTATGCTGACCCAGCCTGCAAGTCTTTAACTTGGGATGTGTCACGCAGCTGCTGCTGTTCCGATGCAGCCGCCACTTCCTCCCCCTCCTGGCAGAGCATCCAAGGTTCCTAGCGACAAAGAACCACAGCTCCTTTACTTGGGATTAATTAGGCACTAAAAGTGGATGTCCTTTAAGGCAGCATATGCAGGCTACAGAGGTGGGGAGTCAGCATGCTGCTGCAAAGGGACTGGTCAAATCCAGAGAGTAGAAAATTAGGCTTTGTGCAGATGCAAAAGCCAAATAAAAGTCCCAAGAGATCACCAGAGAGAAGGAGAGCCAGGGCCATCAAACTGAGCCCCAGCCCTGAAGCAACTGTTCCCAAAGTGAGGCCTTCTCTCCAAATACCTACAGCCAAAAGCCCTGAGGTGCCCGTTCCTGGGCCATCTCTGAGGAGCAGGCTCTGGAAAGGGATGTTACACATAAGGCTTCTTATGCCCACTAAGTTTGATAACTACTGCCCTAAGTACCCCTCTTCTCCCCAGCTTGCTTTGGCTCTCAGGTCCTCTCCGATGAAAGAACACCCCAACGTTGTCAATGGGGGATTTACTTTCTCTTCCCTCTCCTAAATTCAAATTTTTCCTTAATTACTTTAAAGAAAAAATAAAATAGGCTGGGCATGGTAGCTCATGCCTATAATCCCAGCACTTTGGGAGGCTGAGGTGGGAGGATCACCTGAGGCTAGGAATTCAAGACCAGCCTGAGCAACATGGCAAGACCCCATCTCTACAAAACAATAGAAAAATTAGCCAGGTGTGGTGGCACACTCCTGTAGTCCCAGCCACTGGGGAGCTTAAGGCAGGAGAATGACTAGAGTCCAGGAGTTTGAGGTTGCAGTGATCTATGATAACACCACTACACTCTAGCCTGGGCAAAATAAATAAATAAATAAAAATAAAGAAAGAAAAAAAAGAAAAAAAAATAAATTGTGTATTTAAGAGTAAAAGACACTACTGGAGAGGGCTGAGCACTCTGATCTGCCTGATAATCCCTAGTTCCTCCTGAATTAAAATGAAGGGTAGACACAAGAGTCAGATTCTGGAAGACATTAACCTCTTGACATGGATAAAAAAACAAGGCTGGGTACAGTAGCTCTTACATATGATCCCAGCACTTTGGGAGTTGAGGCAGGAGGATCGTTTGAGGCCAGGAGTTTGGGACCAGCCTGGGCAACATAACAAAATCCTGTCTGTACAAAATATCAGCTGGGTGTTGTGGCATCATGCACTTATAGTCCCAGCTACTCTGGAGGCTGAGGCAGGAAATCCCCAGGAGTTTGAGGTTGCAGTGAGCTGTGATTGCGCCATTGCACTCCAGCCTGGGCAACAGAGTGAGACTCCATCTCCAAACAAATGAACAAACAACAAAAAAGCTGCTTATTCCAAAGTCAAAAGTCAAACACCTGGGGAAAGCAGGGTCCAAGAGGGGGCAAGGAAACAGATGCTCACAGGTGAGTTCCACACAGGGAAGGTGAGAGGTCATAGGGAGGCCCAGTTCAGGTGAGGGGCTGAGGGAAAACATCCCTAAGGAGGGGATGAGCGGGCTGGGCAAAGGGCAAGGATGTTCTGGGTAGAGGGGCCTGGGCGAGCAAACATACATAGGTAAGAAACGGCATGTAGGCAACAAACTCCAAGTAGTCTGTATCACTAAAGTGTCTGTCATGAGGCAGGGAATGGCAATAGGTAGCCCAGAGATGGAAGCCTGATGGCCATTTTAAGAGTATAGCCTTTACCCTTTTGTAAAAGGCTCACAAACACAGAACCTCAAGCTTCTCCTGTCATTTTCTTCTTCATACAAAAGTAATCGGTCAGCACTTTGGGAGGGTGAGGTGGAAGGATCACTTGAGGCCAGGAGTTTAAGACCAACCTGGGCAAAATAGCAAGACCCTGTCTCCACAAAAAATAGAACAATTAGCCAGGAGCAGTGGAGCAGTAGTCCCAGCTACTCGAGAGGCTGATGGAAGGATTGCTTGAGCCCAGGAGTTGGAGGATGCGTTGGGCTGTGATTGCACCATTGCACTCCAGTCTGGGTGACAGACTGAGACCCTGTATCTAGGGGACCAAAAAAAAAAAAAAAGTAATGGTGTTCCCTGCAGAAACATTATAAAATATAGATACACAAAAATAAGAAAATAAGGTACCCATAATCTCACCTCCCAGATGTAATTGCTGTTAACATTCAAGCAGTTTTTTCCTGTATGTTTGTGTGCATGTATATATAACGTTCTCCTTATTACAAAAATTTGGACCACCCTGTGATGCTATTTTGTAAGCTTCCTTTTCCCCCACCTAAAATACATTTTAAGGGTGAATTTCATGGTATGTGAAATGTATCTTAATAAAGCTGTAAAAAACAAAGCAAAAAAGCATTATTAACATCCCTGCATGGCAATATTCTTCCATAGCATCACTTGGAAACAGTCTCCCTGGTACAAATATATGGTGACTTATCTGGCTGTTCCATATTTATGGACATCTAGGTTCTTTCCATGTTCTTTTAATTAACAGTCATGCACACATATCTTATCATCTCTGTCTCTCCCGGGACAAATTCCAAGAAGTGGAACTGCAGGGTCAAATGGGGCACATGTTTTTAAAGGTATTTGACTCACACTGCCAGGTTGCTCCCAGCTGTGTCAATTTATAGTCCATCTGGGAGAATGAGACCTAGAACCTGCACCAGGATTGAGTATTTCCTTAGTCTTATAAGTGGTCAGTTTGAGGGTTAACAAAAAGCATACCATTGTTAAAACTCATAATTCTTTATTTCTGAGGTTGAATTTGTTTCACGTGCTTGGTGGTTATGCATAGTCTTTCTTTTTCTGTTTTTTACTGCTGTGTGTGTAGTAAGTGTTACTGGCTTTTAAGAGCTCCTTGTATATATATTAAAGATATAACATAGGATGTTGTTTTTTTCATCTTTTAACTTTCTTTTAATAAAAAAAGGTTATATTTGCATGTAGTTAAATATTTCTGTCTTTGTCTTTAGTTTGTTTTTGCTGATATTCCTAGAAGCCCTCCCCTACTCCGAGAATAAGTGTGTATTCACCAGTTAGGTTAAATCCTCCCATGCTTTTGTTTTAGTCATTATTCTAAACCCTAGAAGACTGACTGCACTCAGTAAACTGGAAAGCAGGAGAGATGATCCAATGTACTTCTAGTTTAATCTACCAGGTTCTCCTCCCATCAACCCCAATTTATTTTCAGAGCTGTGCCACTGAGGAGCAGAGCCAGTAGAGTAACTAGAACGGTGTCATTCACTGGACCCAAACAGTCCTCAGATAAAGCAGAAGCCATGATTAGGCTTAGCTGGGCCTCCTGCCAAAGAGGCTCATGCTGAAAGCAGATTCAATGTCATTCACACAAAAGCAGAGAAGAATGAAACTGCCTCTAGAAATAACTTAAAAAGCTGGGCAGTAATGTGTCTGGCACAGTGTTCCCACTCTTTGCTTGGCTAACTCCCATGCCTCCTTCTCAATTTAAGTATCATTTCTTCAGAGAAGCCTTCCTTGGTAGCCCCATGACCAATGGGCCTCAGTTAGTCTCACTCACAGTATTCTGCAATTTTCCTTCATAGCACCTTCCAGATTTTATAATGATGCGTTTGTGTGTTTATATGATTAATGTTTGCCCCCAACCAAAAATTCTACCACCACTAAAAATTCCATGAGGGAAATGTGTATGTGTATATATATAATGTAATATAAATGTATATAAAAATACATATAGCCATTGCACCCTAGTGCCTGGCTCCGCAGATACTTCATGAATGAATGGGTACCTTCCCTCCTTTGGTGATGGTCATTACCAGGGTCAGTGGCCCTGTGACTATTCTGAGCGGCCCGCTGCCCCTGGTAGCAAGTTGGTATCACTATTGTTCTGACCCTGTTTCCATCTTCTCTGGAATACTAAGCCTCCTCCCTCTTGGTTCCTTGGAGAACACCATGGAGGCGTGTCATACCTGTGTAGACGCTGCCTATGCACCTACGCACAGCCATGGTCTAGACAACAGTTTGCTGGGAGGAGCTGCAGCACAGACAGTGAGTGGGCTCAGCCTGACCCCACCCACCCCACTCAGGATTCCACTCAAGCAAATGGCATGGGAACTGCTCCAAGATGCAGGCAGACAGATGGGAAGGGAGAAGAAAAAGATGCTGACAGAAGAGGGAGCAAGGCTGCCTCCCTTTCCTGAACATCCCTTTCTGCTACCCAGAGATGACTAAAGCAAAGGAAGCATTGTGAAGAGGCAGGCCCAGAAAGCTGGATGCTGCTGCAGGCTCACGAGTAGGGTGAGCAGAGACAAAGCTCCTGGGGACAGACCCTCTCCCCTCCTTTCCCTGTCCCCTGCTGACGTACATGGATGACCTGCCCCTCCTTTAACTCAGCCTGATGTGCATCCCTCCAGAGACACACTTGCAAATGGCCACAAATATTCCGAGGGGGGAGGCCTGCTCAGAGGGACCCTGGCTCCCCAGTGGGATCTGTGATGAGGAAACTCTGGCTACTTAGTCTCAGCAGGACATGGGGCCCAGGCCCCTCCACAGATACTTGGTCCCCAGGCAAGGGTGAAGGGCCCTGGGCCAGCTTGGCTCAGGTGCAACTATTTGCCTGGTATTTCCTGGGCCACTGCTCAGTTCCCCAGGAACTCAAAAGTCTCAGCTTAGAAGTCTCTGAAGCTTTAAATCTGTCAACTCTTCCACATTCTAGCCTCCCAAGTTGGCACCAGTCCCCTTAGAACCTGAACTCCACAGGAAGTTCAGTGAGGCAACAATGGGGGTTGGGGAGAGGCCAGGAGAGAGGCACGAGAACCCAGCCTGGCACCCCACCTTCTGTAGGCCACAGCTGTGCTCCTTGATTCTGAAAGCAGGGGCTTCCACTGCTTTGCCAAACCCAGAGAGTGAGTGTGGGCCTCAGCA